TCAGCCAAGAGTACAAGTATCCCACCTCCTCTTCTTATCCCGCCTCCAAATGTTATGCGGACATTTTTATTTTTCATTTTTTTGCTGTTGATGGTTTTTTGATTTGAGACAGGTTTTTAGAGTTTAGGTTGGCCTTGAACTCATGGCACTCCTCCTACCTCAGCCTCCTGAGTGATAGGATGTGGGTGAATCACCACCAGCCTATTTCTCCTCATAATAAAAAAGAGGGGGAAACCAGAGCAGATAGGTGACAGCAGGAATATATATTACAAGGCACAGTGGAGCTACCAGTCCTCACTCCTGGTTGTACAGTCCTACCTGCAGCCCCCCTTTCCTCAGTTTCAAACAGAATGGAGGGGGGCCCCTGTCTAAGAGGTCCTGCATTGCAGCAGTTTCTTGAGGAACTATAGTACATCGCTCAGCTCACCTCAACAGGTGCCATCTACTGCCACTAGGGTTCATGCTGTCTCACATTCAATCTTTTCTCCTCAGCTACAAACTTTTACTTCTATTATGGTCTCATTACATTCACAAATCATAAAAACATCTTCAGAATATCATTTTTTGGGTGTATGTTTCCACTTCATCTCTGGCATGATAAACCTGATAGTTCTCAAACTCATGGTTCTGAAATGAGCATCGTGGAGAGCAGGCGAGCAGGCCGAGTCCCTGCCCTCAGCTGGTGGCACTGCAGACTCAGCCCAATCTGATCCCAGAGCAGGGAGCCTCCTGAGGAAATGCCTGCAGCCAAGGCCCGGGCCTCCCCTCCCTGCCTGCTGCTCCCAGCCCCACGCCCTGGGCAGGAACAGGAACAGAGGAGAAGGTGCTTCCTTAGCTCCTTCCTCTGCCTTGGTTCACGCAAGCACAGCACACTGGGTCAACACAGTCATTCTTTTTAGACTTACAGAGTTTGTATTTAGGGTAAAATTCCATTTTCCCTTATCATTGTACCTGGCTTTTCTGGCTTTCAGACAATAGGCTCCCTTCAAAGATCTTGGCTTATTTCTCCTAGGCAGTGAATCATATTCACAAATTTTATCTCCTGTGACACAATATGATCAGCTCTTCCCACTCTCGGAACATGATTAAAGATTGTGTCCTTTTTACCTTTATATTCACTCGCACAGGATTTATAAAGATGTGGCTGAGGGAGGCCCTGTCCAGGGCCACGTTCACGTTTCCAGCCCAAGGCTGGAGGTGGCGCTCAGTGGTACGGTGCTTGCCTAGTCCCCAGCAGAAAGCAGAAAGGAAGGGAGAGACTGGACAGGAAAGAAGACAAGAGTAGGCAGACAAGCAGGCAGGAATGCAAAGCAAGTTCTCTGTTCACCAAAAGAGCCACATGTCGAAGAAGTGGGGCTACCGTGCTGAAGATCTGAAGGCGTACTAGCTGACAAGCAGCTGACCGCACATGGCCATGGCCGCAGGGTCAAACACATCCCTGGGGGCTGGGCATCACCAGCACTTCCATTATGATCTCCTCTTCACTCATGCCCACCAGTAAACCGTACTTCCTGCCTGCAAATAAAAGGAACAGCACCTCAGTTTGTCCTGCTGGCTCCCCACTCCGGCTTTCCGTTTTCTCCGCAGTGCAGCTTCCCCCTCTGACATCCCGTGTGTTTACTTGTTCTCCTCCCTCCACTCAAACGTGAGCTTTTGAGGGGGCAGGACCCAGCTTCATACCTGACACACAGTACCTATTCAACAAATGGTAAAAAAATAAATAAATGTTGGACAGATTGCTGAATGGTTGTTTTTTTCTGCTTTCTCTCTGAGGCCCATCACTTCTCTCCAACCACAGCCATGTCTTCCCATTGGGCTTACTAGCTAGGATCAAATGACCATGTATTTTGTTATCAGTTCAGAAGGGAACTCTACCATAGTGGCAGTGGGGAGATCTTCATCTCCAATTTCTCCAACTGCTGACATGACATCCACTCTGCAAGTCCTGCTTCTCTTCTGTGGCACCATCCCTTAACCCCCATCACCACCTCACCTTCTTCTGAAGCCTCAGAACCCAATGTATTTCTCTCTCATCTAGAAGGAAGCACTTTCTGCTTGGTGCAGACAATATAATTTTCCTGAGTGTGATTCCAATAAGGCCAACAGTAGACACTGGTTAGTATTTCCTGAAATAACCTGGCCTTCATTTATTTGCCTTGTCCTGGGAGTTTCTGTCTGCCCAAGTTCATGATTGGAATAAGGGGGTGTGTGTATGTGTGTTCCGCCTCTGTTGCCTTTGTCTTGTCTCCTGTGTCTGCACACAAAACTCAGCAGTGTATGGGCTGCTATTTTCATGACCTGATGCAGAGAACATAGTGGCCCTGAGGGGTGCAGTGAATTTGAATTACACAAGTACCCTATCTGTCTTTTGCACTGCTGACTGGCAAATGAGCAATGGTCTGTAGAAGCAGCAGGTGCAGGAGAGGTGACTCTTGCCAGATGGGGCTAAAAAAAGGTCCAAGTGTGACACAGGGAGTCCTTTCATTAACCCATCCATGACCAAGGCAAGGTGGGGGAGGGTAAACTCTCCAGTCTTTTAGGGCTTCTACTTTAAATGCTTTCACCTGTGATGGAGGCAGCTGTCCTGACATAAATGGCAGGAGCAGCCAAGAGAGAGCAGGAAGGGAAGATACTGAGTGAGATGCACCCATTCATACCCTTTAGCACGGTCCTGAGCATCTCAGCGTCTAAGATGTGACCAAGTGCTCCCTCTCTTGCCAGACACCTACAACAGACTTGAGGAGAGTCCAAAAGCACACAGCTCCACATCCTTGGCTGTGGGATGTGAGTTGAGCTATGTAAACCTGCTGAACTGGCTTCCTCATCTCCACAGAGCCAGCATGATTCCACCTAGCTCACAGCACCCTTGGGGAACTGAGTGAGATCACTTGTGTGAAAAGCTGAGTCAGTCCTTGACCATGCTTTCTTTTCTTCCTTTAGGGAGGCATCCTGCCCTCCCTCACGTCTGCTACACCAGCCTCACCGTAAGGTACTGGAGGCTGACTTACTCTGGGGGACAGGCTATTCCTGAACTGACGGCTGGGCCATAGCAATGTCAAAGATGCTGGTGAAGGGTACCCCAAGGCTGAGTGCACCCCAGCCAGAGTTCTTAGAAGTTATGTGGGGGCTACGGTAGAGAAAACTGTTGGTAACTGCTCTTCCCTTCAGTTTGACAAGGCTCCAGCCTCACCTGTTCAAGTCACAGAGGAACCCCTGGCCATCTCTTCTTCCTTTGTACTTTTTCTAACCACCTTTTCTTCCAAAATCAAGACTAGGCTATGGAGCTCATCCTAAGATAAGGAAAGCTTCTATCTGTGATTAGCCAGACATGGAAACACACAAAGCTTTTTGTTTTAAAAACTCCCCAGGGTTACTGGCCTTACAAAGGCCTTCTTGGACTAGCTGGAAGCCGAAAGGGAATTATAGCAATGCATGCAGTCTGAACGCGCACCGCGTGATCGGGAGAAGCTGCCAGCCTAGGAGGTAAAGGCGCTACAAAGGAAAGAGGAACCCGAGGCTCGGCGCGGAAGGGTCTGCACGTGGGCATAGTGACCAGGGTTCCAGTCCTTCCACCACCCTCACTATCGGGGAGGTGGGAGGCGGCCGCGGGCCAGGCCGGGAGGAGCTCGAGGCGCCGACTCCTCCCGCAGGGCCGCGGGGTCTGGGGCTCCGGTGCTACCGGGCGCCCGAGTCCTCTCCGTGCCCCGAAGACCCGCGGGCTACAATCTCGACGTGGGTCCCTGCTCGAGGGCGCGGCGCCCGGGTGACAGAAGGTCGATGCCCGGCGGGTCAACGATCAACCTCCGCAGGAGCCTCACGCCCGGCTGCCACGCGGCCCGCTTCGTCAGCACCTTCGTGTGGCTCGGCGGGGCAACCCCCCACGGGGGTCACGCGGAGGGCGCGGCGCCGTCCGGCCAGGCCGAATCGGCGCGGGGGCAACAGCCCCTCCCTGTCTCGCTTCTCCTCCCCTCCTCCTTCGCCCTCTGCGCGCATGCCGCAGCGTGCGCCACGTCCCCAGCCCCGCCCCCGCGAGCCACGCGGGGAACCCCGGTGACGTAATTACCGCCTTACTGCATTCCCGCGCTCTCCAGAAAAGACGCGAAGGTGGTGACGTGTCCGGAGCGCCAGTGCGGCTGCGCAGGAGACGTCGACGACTGAACGTCCTGCGGCGCCGCCTGGTGGAAGAAAAGCTGTTAAGCGCCCGGAAGAGGCTGTTAGAGGCGAACGTGGCTGACGTCATCTCGGGGCGGCTGCTTCGTGACCCAGCCTGGTATCCTTTGCTCTTCCTTCTTCTGCTCCTAGAATAGTGTTGAAGCCTAATGCCAAGCACAATTTTTTGTAACTTATGAAAGTACTGTAATATACATTTTGGAAAAGTTGGGGGAAAAGGAGAAGATGGGAAGAGTTTGATATCAGGAAGCAAACTCACAAACAGGATTGCCAGGGAGGCATCAGTCTCTCCAATCTTTAACCATCTTTACTTTTTTTAATTAAACAAGTGTGTATAACGGAAGTATTAACTACAACGATTCGGAAGAAGTGACAAAAAGCAATCGAGCCGTAAGCCTAGAGTAGAATTCAAAATAATAGGCAAGATGAGCAGTGTGCTGTTCACACATCGTATCTGACTACTGTGACAAAACTGTGCATATTTTTGTGTTAACTTCCTCAAGATCCCTCAATAAGAGAGTGGCAGAACTGACGTTTCAAATCTAAGCTTTAAGATCTGAAATTCTATTTATTTTAGGTACCGGGGATCGAGCTCATGATCTTGCGCTTCAGGCAGGCGCTGCGCTACTGAGCTATTATCAACCCTAAGATCTGAACTTTAAAATGCGAGAATGGGGAAGACACTGAAAAATGATGGTAGGGAGAAAAACACGCAGAAATTTACAGGGCTACAGAATCCACTTTCCACTTTTACAGCCCATGAGCTTGAAGTTGTTAATAAGGAATTAAACTGGAGACTTCATCCTACAGCAACTTCTTGGAGAGCTTTGAATCATCAAGCACTGGGTATGGTGGCACATGCTTGTAATCTCAGGAAAGGAGAGGCTGAGGCAAGAGGATCACCAGTTCAGAGCTTTTTTTTTTTTTTTTGATACCAGGAATCGAACTCACAAACAGGATTGCCAGGTAGGCACTGTGCCGCTGAACTACATCCCCAGCCCGCTCCTCAAACGTTTCAAGTGCCCCTGCTACATGCAGGGGCCTCAAGTTGGTCTTGTGTCAGTGAAGAATGGAATGGAGGGATCAGGTCAGGCACTATCGTTGCTAGTCTGTAGTCCACTATTTTGTACATGACTTGAGAACTGATAATATGCAGAACCTTGGATCCCAGCTTAGAATGTCTGAAACAGAATATGCATCTCTACTTAGACCCCTAGATGATTCCTATACAGGTTAAATTTTGATTAGTGTTATTATAAAACAAATCATCTTGTTTTACAGGCACCTCAGCTGTTCTGTGAATGAAGCCCAAAAGAGAGACAGAAATGGACCAGATAGCCCTGGCAACAGTGTTAAGGCCCAGCCATACCCCAGTTTCACCCTATTTTAGTGTTTATGAACAGCCATTCATTCTGTTTTGCCTCAGCAGGATAGAGACAGGTTTCTATTACTTGAAACAGAGAAAATCAAAAGCCTAATTCATACAGATTTTTTGGCTTCTTGATTCCCAAGGACAGTGAACTATAAGATATATTTATATCAAAGCAACATGATATCATAAGAAAGAATATGTACTATGGAGCACAATATTTTTGTAGTAAATATTATTTTAATACTGTTTCCAGCAAGATAGATAACCTCAGAGAAGCTATTTAACTATAAAAGAAGGTGTAATGCCTAAACTCAAACTAATGAAGGTTCAGTGAATAAAAGATGAAGTGACAATAATGTAAGTGCCTGGCACATGCTAGGCATTAACTATTAATTTCCTTTGTGACATTCTGTGATCAGTGTGCCCAGAAATAGGAACGAGGTTTTACTAGCTATAGACTTTTTTAAAAAATAAAGATGGGAATAAATATAACACTAATAAGCAATTACAAGCATTTGTTTCAAATGTCAATAATTCCTTTACACTCAAATCTCTTTTCAAGGTAAATCTCCCAAAAGGTTGATAATTTGATAATCAGGCCAGCATGAGACATCATTTGGAAAAACTAGTGACACTGTGCTTTATTTGAGAACAGAATAAAGAGAAGGGCCAGAACTCTGTAAGGATGGTTCTTTACATTCTGTTCTAACCAACACTATTAATGTAAGGCTGATGCTGCTAACTTTTGAAAGAATTAGAGAAACATTTAAACTCTAAAGCTGAGTCCATGACAAGGAAAGTGAGCTGATTTTTTCCTTCTTTTAAAACTAGCCAGAAATACTGCCCAATATATAATAAAGACCATATACAGCAGCACTGAAAAGACTACTTATAAGAATTTTTCCTCAATAAAATCCACTCGAATTCTCTGAGAAATGGAATCTTAGCTAAGAACAGTTCACTAAGGAATAGGTCCATCTAGTTACTTAAGTGGCCAGGGTTGAGGATGTGCAAATTTAGCAGCAAAATACTCTTGTCTCAAGGGAAAGTGATAGTGGTCAGAGGGGCCAGCTCCAATGACTGCTCCAGGGGGGGCCGCTGGTCTTGGTAGTCTGCCACATGCCCGTTCCGGTGGTGACCATACTCAAATTTGATCCGCAGCTCACCAATCTTGGCTTGAGGAAGGATATCTGGGATCCACTCAATGATGAAAGGTGTTGGCTCCTTTTGATCTGGGGAAGTATTGCCTAAAGAAGGGGAGGGGAAAATGAATATTAGTTAGTGCATTCCATGACTGTCACGAGCATTCCTAATAGCAGAGTATTCTCTTGGCTTTGATAATCAGCTTTTACATATCCAGTGGTGACTGGAATATAAGACTTCCTAATCATTATGAAATTAATATGAATTAATATTCAACTCAGAATGGGGGCTGGGGAGTTAGCTCAGCGGCATAAGTGCCTGCCTTGCAAGCAGGCAGTCGTGAGTTCGATCCCCGGTACCGGTAAAAAAAAAAAAAAAAAAAAAAGACAAATATTCAACTCAGAGTAATGGTGTAAAACTACAATCTAGCTCAGTGTGAAAGTCCTGGGTTATAAGAGGGAAAATAAGATATAATATTTAATAACTTTACTGTTTTTTTTTTTTTTTTTTTACTGATGTTGATGACTAGAGTAACAGTTTGATGGGATACCTGAGATGAAAAAATTCAGAAGAAAAAGTTTTAAAAAGTTACAGATATGTAAACATGAGGTAAGCCAGGTGTGGTGGTGCACTCTAGTAATCCCAGCACTCGGGAGGCTGAGGCAGGATTATTGGTGCAAATTCAAGACCAGCTTGGGTTACAAAGTGAGCCTAAGGACAGCCTGAACTTGATAGTAAGACACTGTCTCAAAAAGACAAAAATGAAATAAATAAGTAAATATGAGGAAAAAATGGAGAAAACCCTTAACTAATGTATATAGTATATCTTTTTATTTCAGTATTTCTGAAATAAAAGGTATATAGTATACCTTTTTATTTCCGTATTTCTGATTTCATATATGCACACATATTTTTTTAAATTTCACTACCTTATTCTCCCATTTTATTTCCATATCACCTTCTTTAAACCCCTACCCTCCACTTCTTTTGGTTGTTTCCTTCTCCCAATGACCAAGACATGATTTATATGATAAGAAACCAAGCTTCTACCCATCCCAGACTAACAACCTATGCACTGGTGTGTTTCGGTCTGTTGAGTTGCTTCTAGCCATAGAATATAAATATTAGGTAACATCTGGTTCTTGTCTATAACATAGCTACCATTTTAAATAATAGCTTGATGAGAACCCTCTGTGGAGCAGCTACCATCTTTTCACTTAAATATCAGTCAAAGTCCTGAAGACTCATGAAGATGTCCACTAAGATCACTGGCAGTATTTATTGGCAGTAAAAAAATTTTTTTAAAATAGTGTTGGTGGACAGGGAGGAGAGAAACCTTTCTAGGCTACTGCCTGCATAACATAGCCCAGCTTTCCCTCACAAAGGAAGGAAAAAAGTAAAAAGACACCCTACCCTTACATCTTGTCCTGGATAGAACTTGTACAAACTAGAAAATAAGTAGTCTGATTGCCTGCCTTTTAGAAAGTGTGACACACATCCTTCCCCACACCTGCACCTGAATTCCTGATGACTTACAGCAGCAGGGTTAAAGCTGACTAGCAGTGGCTGAGCACGTACATGCTGGACAGTGCACTCTACACAAGTAAAGCAGCACAGGTGGGAAGAAAGGGGAAGTCCTGACCATCACGTGCTGCGAATGTGAGTTTTGTCTTTTCACAGATCATAGTAGCAGAGGAGGGAGGCCATTTCTTTTCTATCTGTGTGACAGAAAAGAAACACACAGTCTGAGAACTGCATCAGCCCTCCACCTGGAGATGGGAGAGAGATGCAGCCATCACCCTGGAGTGGCCAAAGGCAATGTTACTTTTGTAACATGTTACTCCAATATGGACAAATCTTACTGTGTTCAGGGCTAAGTAAGGTAAAGGAGGAGCTTTTTAAAAATACATGAAGTTAAAACACACACACACACACACACAAAACTAGGACAGACAACTGAAGGGAAAACCATGACTGCTGTTAACCATTCAAAAGATCTATTGAGAATAGTAGAATATTGAGAATAGTAGAGAACTATTTGGCATCCAAAAAGAACCCTGGGCCAGTGGCACAGCACCTGCCTGGCAAGCACAAGGTCCTGAGTTTGATTCCCAGCACAAAAAAAAAAAAAGAATGAAAGAAAGAAAAAAGAATCCTGTCTCTATGAAAATAGGGCAACCAGGGATTTAGCTCAGTGGCATAAGCGCTTGGTTGGCAAGCACAAGGTCCTAAGTTCAATCCCTGGTACCACAAAAAGAAGAAAGAAAAAAAGATAAAGGAGAAAGAGAAAAGAGAGAGGAAAGAGAAACAAACAAAGAAACGAAGAAAATAGGGTAAAAAAATCATAAAGAGAACCCAGACTTTGAACTGATGAGATTAAAACTGAGATGAACAGGAAAAGGTCAAGTTTTTTTTCCTTTTTTGGGAACTAAGAATCAATCTCAGGAACTCTAATTTTCCAGATAGGTGCCATGCCATTAAGCTATTCCCCTAGCCCAAGGTTAAGTTTCAAATTACAAAGAAATAGTAGAATTAAAATCTACATGGTTTTAAAACATATTCCAAACACCTAAGAGTCGAGTATCATACTGGCATTCACATGTCTAGATAAAACAGACATGGAAAGATCAGAAATATTCATAAGTAGAAACAAAACAAAAAGATCAGAAACAGACACAAATAGAATATGAATTTAGCATAAAATAAGGTGATACATTTAGCAAAAGAGATTCAAGTAAGTTTCTCATAATACAAGAAAATGAAGGTGGAAGAATTTTGACTCATAACTTGCATCAAATTCCATAGCATCAAAAATTTAAATAGAGAAAAACTCCATTTAGCTGAGGCAGGAGGACTGTTGTGAGTTCAAGTCCACTATGGGCTACAAAGTGAGCTCAAGGCCAGCCTGAACTGCATAGAGAGACTGTCTCAAAAAGACCAAAAAAATCCTCCATTTGAAGAATGTTTTTGAATTAAAAACTGGTAAAACTAAGAATATATTATCACCTTCAAAGGAGAGAAAGGGGATATAAAAACATGTGTCATATATGTGTACCAACTCCTTATGATGAATGTCATGATTATGTACTGCAAGCATACTAATAAACATGAAAATTTGAAAAAATATAGATCACCTTCAAAAACTACAAAGACAGTTATGCACAGGAAATAATCTATAGCAAAACACAGAAAAGACAAAAGACCAATTATATCACTTACAATGAATATTAACTAAAACTATATATAATAAAGTCTATAAATTAAAAAATCTGCGGGGCTGGGGATTTAGCTCAGTGGCATAAGCGCTTGCCTTGAAAGCAGGCAGTCATGAGTTCGATCCCTGGTACCGGTAAAAATTAAAAAGCAAAAAAAAAAATATGTCAGTAACTTCAATATACTAACAATGTTGCATTAAAATACTTAAAAGACTTTTTTTTTCTTTCCTCTCAAACTGAAAAAAGGCTTTTAATATAAGAAGATATTTAGAGAAGCACAGGTATTTAGTAGAAGTTGTATCACCGATCCTACAGTCTTTGACAGGTCAGAGACATAAGAAGCTGGGAATAGCACACACCTGTAATCTCAGAATTCAGGAGACTGATGCAGGAGGATGGCTGGGAGTTCAAGGCCAGCCTGAACAACACAGCAAGACCTTGTCTCACAAAACAAAGATACAATAAAGATATAAACAGAATTTAAGTAAAAAGCGTGATTGATTTAAATGCTATACAAAAGTTGATTAGATAACATTTTGCTAGCACAAATTCCTATTGCATGTCATTAATGTAAAAATATTTTAAAATTCCTAGCTTTTTTTTTTTTTTGAACAGAGTCTCTCTATCTACTTCAGGCTGGCCTGAAATCAGTATGTAGTGTAGGCTAGACTCAAATTCATGATGATTATCCTTCCTCGTCCTCATGACTGCTAGGATTACAACTGTGTACCACCACCCCTGAAATTCCTAAAAAGAAGAATTGGAAAGATACCTTCATCATCATGTGTTTGGTGTTTGGTAAGAGTTGTATAGAAAATTATTTTGGGAAGGGCCAGGGATTTAGCTCAGTGGCATAAGTGCCTGCCTGCCAAGCAGTAGGTCGTGAGTTCCATCCCTGGTACAAAAAACAAACAAAATTATTTTGGACAGCTTTAGATCCAGTCCAACAGTTTAAAAACATCTGTTCTAAGCCAGGTGTGATACTACACACCCTGTAATCTTAGCACTCAGGAGGCCACATCTCCAGGGTGGAACAGCTTTTTTTTTTTCTTTTTTTGGTACCAAGGATCAAACTCATGACCTTGCACTTGCCAGGCAGGTGCTTACATCTTTCTTCTTTTTGAGACAGGGACTCACTGTACTGTTTAAGCTTGCCTTGAGCTCACTGTGTAGCCCAGGTTGGTCTTGAATTTGCCATAATCCTCCTGCCTCAGCCTCCTGAGTGCTGAGATTACAGGTGTGTGTTTGGGGTGTAACTCAGTGGTAGCACACTTGCTTAGCATATGCCAGGCCCTGATTCAATCCCTAGTACTGAAAAAAATGCATGCATTGGGGGCTGGGGATTTAGCTCAGTGGCATAAGTGCCTGCCTGGCAAGTGCGAGGTCGTGAGTTCAATCCCTGGTACCAAAAAAAAAAAAGCATGCATTGGAAGAAAAAAGGACCAAGCAGCATTTATTTCAAATATATTACATTCAGAAATATAAAATTAGATTACATCAAAAAATATAGCTAAGAATACATTTAGAAGACCTGACAAAGTAACTATAAATTATCAATTTCTTCTGGAATAATAAATGCACAATTAAGCCAGGTATGGTGGGGTACATCTATAATCCCAGCACTCAAGAGGCTGAGGCAGAATGATCATTGTGAGTTCGAGACCAGCCTAGGCTACAAAATGAGCTCTAGGCCATACTGAATTGCTAACAGGACCTTGTCTCAAAAAGTATAATCAATCAGCCAATCAATCAATCAATAAGTAAATGCACAGTTACAGAAAGAAGGGGGCCTGCTACAATAGGTCACAAAACTAAAGTAACCAAAACTATGAATGACTGATACTAGGAAAAAAAATAAAAGGAAAAGGAAAAACCCCAACTATGGCTGGAATGCATTCACTCATTAGCCTTTATTGAGTACCTGTATCAATCAGACACCAAGCCATCTTGGTAAAAATAATACATGTAAAGCAGTAATGAAGAAGAGTGGCACGTTCATGTCCTTTAAAGGGCTTACAGTCAATCTGATCAGTGAAAAGGAGGTAAATCCTAGATGCTTGGGAGTGCAGGATGTGGAGTCTAAAACCACCAGGTTGGGCTGGGGATTTAGCTCAGTGGCATGAGCGCCTGCATGGTCTTGAGTTCGATCCCCGGTACTGATAAAAAAACAAAAACAAAAACAAAAAAAACCCTAGGGTTGAAATAACTTTAGCATTTAGTAAGTGTGGCTACTGGCTGGCTGTACTTAGCCTCACCTCAATTTCTTCTTCTATAAATAAGGATCACAGAATCTACCTCTCACTAGGTTGGTAAGTAATTAATACATGTAAAGCATTTAAAATAATGCCGGTCATAAAGTAGTTAATCTTTAAGTGCTGGTTATTGTAACTGTTATTAGAAACTTATCATACAAGCCAGATGTGATGCTGCATACCTGTAATTTTCCAACACACTGTGGGACTGAGGCAGGAGACTCAGCGACTCAGCAACTCAACAACTTAGCAAACACTGTCTCAAAACAAAAAATAATGAAGGGCTGGGGATGTAGTTCAGTACAAAGGCCCTGAATAAATCCACAGTGCTGCAAATTTTTTTTGAGACAAGGTTTCATGATGTAGTTCAGGCTGGCTGAGAACTAATTATGTAACCCAGGCTGGCCCCAAACTGCTATAATCCTCTTGCCTCAGCCTCCCAGACGGCTGAGATTACCAGTGTGTGCCCCCATCCCCAGCAGAACACAGCATCTCGCACGTGTTAGAGAAGTGCTCTACCGCTGAGCTGTCACCCTAGGTGGCAGTCACCCTGATTAATACTGAGGAAAATGCAAATGAAGAATGAGAAAAGGTTTTGCCTGTCCTATTAACAAAGATTCAAAAAACAGAAACTCTTAAAATGTGACAAGGTAAGTTCTATAAATATTACAGTGCTTCTAAGGAGCAGCTTGACCAAAAATATTTAAAATTAAACTTTGACCCTCCAATTTCACTTTTAGGAACTTATCTCAAAGAATATCTGAAATAAGTGCAGAAATAACTGATATAAAAGGCTTATCTAAGAGAAGTTAAATACAGCATTGTTTAAGAGCAAAAATGTTTAAAACAGGTTAGAATATGGTGCTCCAAAATGAATGAATTTTATTCAGCTGTCAAAAAATAAAACTTTTTTTGTAGACTGTGGCTATAGTTCAGTGGTAAATTCTGTGGTTAGCATCTGCAAGGGCCTCAGTTCAGTCCCCAGCACCACTTAAAACAAACAAACAAAAAATTGTAAGTTAGTGGCAATAGTGTTACTCCCCCAGGTGGTTTGTGTTTTGTTTTGGTTTTTGTCTTTTTGAGACAGGGTCTTGCTATGTGCTGCTCTTGAACTCACTTTGCAGCCCAGGCTGGTCTTCACTTGCAGCAATCTTTCTGCCTCAGCCTCCTGAGTGCTGGGACTGCAGACATGTGCCACCATTCCTCACTCCCCTAGGTGTTAATCCACAGATGAATGGATAAACAGAAAAGTGTTATATACAGACATAGGAATGTTATTCAGCTTTGACAGGAGGAGAAGTTTTTGACATATTCTATGTCATGGATAAACCTAAGTACAGTAAGCCAGCTGCAAAAGAACAAATACTATATGATTCCACTTACATGCAGTACTGAGGACTTAACAGGTCCAATTCATATACAAATATAGAACAGTGGTTGCCAGGGGCTGGGGCAAGACAAGTGTGTGAAGTTATTGCTTAATGGATACAGGGTTTCAGTTGAGGATGATGAAACTGTTCTGAGGTCCGTGGTGGTGATGGTTATGTAATAATGTCAACGTCCTTAATGATAAGAGAATTGTGCACTTAAAAGCAGTTAAAATGGTAAACATTCTGCTATTACAGCTTACCATAATCAAAAAGTTTAAGAAATAATGTTGCTGGATAGGGTAGTACACTCCTATAATCTCAGTACTTCGGAGGCTGAGGCAGGAGGATCACTGCAAATTTGAGGCCAGCCTGGGCTACAAAGTGAGCCCAAGGCCAGGCTGAACCATATAGTGAGACCCTGTCTTAAAAAGACCAAAAAAAAAAAAAAAAACAACCCCGAATCATGAAGATAGGCATGGGAAGCAGTAGTGGTGTATTAGTGAGTAAAAAAAACCCAGTAGGGATATGATCCTATGTCTTAGGAACTCTTCATACACAGGAATCAATAAAAGGATAAATAACAAAATCTTAACAGTGGTGTCATCTTTGGAGTAGGTAGATTACAGGTGGTTTTAATTTTTGTCCTTTGTGCTCTATCTTGAAATCTCACTTCTCCACAGTGAAAATGTATTATTTCTGCAATTTTATTTTGAAAGCACAACTGTCCTTTTAAAATGAATGTGGGTTTTTGGACTAAGGTCAAGATCCAAAGCCTGAGAGAGTGGAATGAGCACACTGGCCCTCGAAGAAAGAAGGGCTTTTGAAATTCACTTACCAACTTTGAGGAAAGTTTTTAGTTCCAAGGGTCGCAGCACTGGTTGCTTTTCTATGCGGCCGTAGGTTTCTGCTATGCTCTCAACTTCCACTTTAGGGCATTTAAATAGTTCATAAGTCCCATCTCGGTTCTGGATAAAACTACGGGTAATTTCCAAGGGCATCTGGATACCAAGACAACAACAGCAACAAAGGTGAAACAGGGAAAACTTTCAAAGTAGCCAGATATTTGGATGCCAATAAGTGTTTTATTATTCCTTCTTTCTTGTTAAGTGTAGTTAAATTGATGAAAACTTTCTTTTGTACTTCCAAGCAAACCCTGTCAACAAAGCTGCTTTTTGCCCCTTACACAGTTTTCCTTAATTTTAACTCCAGCCGAACCGTATACCAACTGAACCTGTAAGTTTTTCACTGCTCATACTGTGCTACCAGGACAGACTGCTCTGAATCCTTCCCCTACTGCTCTGCTGGCAGCATTCTGCTAAATACTCCCGACAGTACCTACAGCGCCCTCACCACCTGTGTGTTCATACTGCCCTTGGGACTGAACCAGGCAGAACTTCACCCACACAGCAATGTCTCTGCTGCCCAACAGCAGGAGGACTGTGAACCTGTTACGGAGTTTCTCACAGCCTGACTCCCTACCTGCAAAATGCAGTTATAATATGTTGTAATATCCTTGCATCACTAGGAGACTGAAGAGGTGATGAAAGTAAACAATATCCAACAGCGGAAGCTCTTTGATCACTAGCTCTCTTCCCTCACTTGCCTTTGCCCTGAGTTGCTTTAGTGCTTTCCTGAAAGTCACTCATTCTAAGCCAGCATCTGCTTCCAGACACTATGCAGCAGTACTGAGTGTGAAGGAAATATGCCTGTAATTCCAGCACTCTGGGAGGTGGAGGCAGGAAGATCTCACGTTCAAATTCACCATAGGCAATTTAGTAATTTAATGTCTGAAAACATAAACAATGGGCTGGGGACATAGCTCTGTTTAAAGGTCCTGGATTCAATTCTCAGTGTTACCAAAAAAAGGAAAAAGTTAGTTAGCACTAACATAGGCTTACTTTCGGGAAGGAGGGCAGGGTTTCACTATATAATTTGGGCTGGCCTTGAACTTACTATGTAGCCCAAAATGGTCTCAAATTCGCTCAGATCCTCCTGCCTCAGCCTCCCAAATGCTGGGATTATAGCTGTGTGCCACCAGGCCAGGCCAACACATGCATTTTTTCAGGAATTCACATTTGACTTGTGTAGCCACTGAACAACTTACTCTTTTCTGAACATAACAATGTTTTGCCATTGAGCTAATCAATTTATCAAATAACATTTTAAATTTTTTACAATATTCCATTACTTTAAGAAGGGAAAACTTGCTCAAATTTTTCAGGATATGCTTGCAACATATATTTGAAGGTCTAATGTGTCCCTGGTGAAGATGAATACGTAATTATTGGTCATTTCTCTAATGATAATCAAATTAAATGATAAAGTTTGGAAAGGAAGATTTAATTGTACTGGACCCAGTGACTCCACAAATAGTATGTTATTCAAAATTATTTATAGTTTCTAGCTGCCTGCCATGTAAATCTAGGGCTCATTATAGTTACCAGGAATCATTATTGAAGCTGTAAGAAAAATTCTCTTCCTGATTCCAAAGGCTGAGAAAAAAAACATACTCCAATTTAAGGTTTTCTTTTTTTGGTCTCTTTGAAACAAGGTCTCACTATACAGTTCATGCTGGCTTTGAGCTCACTTTATAGCTCAGGCTGGTCTCAAACTCCAAACAGTCCTCCTGCCTGAGCCTCCTGAGTGCTGGAATTACAAGCGTGCACCACCATACCTGGCCAGTTTAAGACATTTTTAAAAGAGGAAATAGCCACTAAAATCAATCAGAAATATAAACACTATTTCTTAATAATCTCAGCGTAAAAAAGAAATTCTCATTATCATGTGAACTAAGGGAAACCTAACTCCCACACTTGCTGCCCTTCTGCCCCCTCACTACTGTAGAAATACATTCTTACCTCTGGGGTGTCTAAGATTTGTTTAACTTGCAGGATATTAGTGATATGCCAGGTGTACTTGGAAAATGTTCCCAGTGGCAAGGCATCTTTTCGAATAAAAGCTTAAATATAAAAAAAATAAAATTAGGCTACCAACAAAATCACATTTTCTCTCATTGCATATGTCCTTTAATTTCTACGGAGTCCAGTGCAGTGCTATTCACTCTTTCTAGAATTGTGACCTTTTTTTTTTTTGTCTTTTTAAGACAGAGTCTCACTAGACAGTTCAGGCTGCCCTTGAACTCATTTTGTAGCCCAGGCTGAACTGGAACTCACAGTGACCCTCCTGCCTCAGCCTCCAGAGTGCTGGGATTACAGGCGTGAGCCACCATGCCCAGCTAGAATCTCAGCCTTTTAGAAAGGCTGTTCAACAGATATGTGACAAACCTAATCATATGAACTTCTGCTATATGACTTCCGTGAGGCAGAATGCAGTGCTACATATTTTTGCTACCTTTGAAACTTGCTTCAATGCTGGATAAAGCCCTATGCACAAGGCTCTATTATAAAACAAAGTCTCACAACTTTAGATAAAACAGATCAAATAACAGTCCTTAAAATACTTGGAATTTAAGCTTTCTAACAAGATGGCTAATCCACTGTCTGCATGCAGGATTATCAAGCAGTTCCACCAAAGGCTCTAGAAAAATCAGCAAGTGTAAGTTAAAATTAAAGTGGAGGGGGCTGGGGATTTAGCTCAGCGGCATAAGCGCCTGCCTTGAAGCGCTTGTGAGTTCGATCCCTGGTACCGATAAAAGGCAAAAAGACAAAAAAAAAAAAAAAAAAAAGTGGAGTTTAAACTAGAAGAAAGACTCACTACTGCTTCAAAAGTTAGATAAGCTCTGAACACAAAGGTTTTTATGGTCCCAAATATGGTGATTCACATATTACATATTCTCAAATTGAAAAATAGGGTTAAACCTCAAGAAAACATTGCTCTCAGAAGAAAAAAGTCACATCACATTAAATAGCAATTTGAAACGTTGCCACTGAGAAACCCCTCTTATCTCTTTCCATATTTCCTTACTGCACACCTAACAAGTATCTTGAGAGCCCCAGATCTTTAGAAGAAAGATGGTACAGAAAACCAAAAAATAAGTATGAGAATAATGCAATAAAGTCTGTGGGCTAAGGAGTGTGGCTCAGTGGCAGGGCACATACAGTTCAGGGTTCCATTCCCTCCACTAAGTAAATAAACTATTCTAAGCCTAATAATTACTCTAAGGATATAATCTTCATCAGAAGCTTGGAATCGGCCAGGGATTTAGCTTAGCAGCATAAGCACCTGCCTGGCAAGTGCGAGGTCATGTGTTCGATCCCCGATACCACAAAAAAAAAAAAAAAAAAAAAAGCTTGGAATCATGAAAAAAAGTTTTAGTTTGTTCATGTTTTTTTTTTTTGATCCTGGGGATCAAACTCACAACCTCATGCTTGCCAGGCAAGCGCTTATGCCACTGAGCTAAATCCCTGGTACTGTTTTTGCTTTTTGAGACAAGGTCTCATTATGTAGGTCAGCCAGACTTGCACTCAGTATCATACTGACCATACTGGCCTCAAACTCACAGCAATTCTCCTACCTCAGCCTTCCATGTGCTCAGATTACAGGACTGTGCCAGCACACTCAGCAGTTTTAGTTTTTGATATACACTATAATATGCTTCCAAGAAACTGACCTAAAAATAACTAGGAGGCCCTTCAATGCAGTTGTGAAAGTGTTTCACACCTAGAAATACTGTCTTCTCAGTGGGCACCTTGTTGCTCTTTATTGTTCTTATAGCAAGTTTACATTTCCTAATGTTTTCCACTAACTCTTACTGAAATATGTGTATGGTCATTGTCCTAAGAGCCCATTGTGGAAGGCTTCATATCCAAGTGACTAGAGGTCCTAGTCCTCAAAGTTCTACACAGATTTTTTTTCCAAATAAAATTCTGTAAGGTCAAAATACCTATTTCTATTCCAGAGGAAAATTCCCATACCTGTGGTGGAGTTGGGGAGCCGTTTTTTTGCACTTCCTATGGATATTCTCTGTTGCAGGGCATCAAAAAAGGCCTGAGGAATGTGGAACACCAGTGGCTCCGGTTTGCCTATAGAAATAAGAAGTCACTGTGAACAGGTGAAAGAAAAGGAATGAAGCAACAGTGATTACTAGAAATACTCCTGAAGCTTCTTTCTCTGATACTTTTATTCATTAATTGTGTGTGTGTATGTTACTGAGGACTGAACTTGGGGCTTTTGCGTTGGACTGTATTCTGGGTTTTTTGTATTTTTTATTTTGCCATAAGGTCTCACTAAGTCCTGAGGCAGCCCAGGCTGGGCTTGAACTTTCCATCTTCCTGCTTTAGGATTACAGACATGCACCACTACACCCAGCCTTCTTCTAGATCCCTTGCAGTCATAAACCACACATGACAGCACCTCAAGAGATGAGAAGAGTGGGGTGGAATTGAGGATGAGTCTGATTTGCTCCTCACTATCTCCATATACTTGTTATTTCAATTTGTATCTAAGCAAAATATATGCTCTTGCCTGAAGGGTTAGGACCATGAATGCTGAAGAACTGTAAATTTTTTATTTTTGTGTTAAATATCCCTTCTTACACTCAGGATACATTTACATTGCCATAAATAGTGCAGTTTTTAGCAGTGGGAACCAAGAAGGAATGTGGGGAGTACCCACCTCCTTCTGTGTTTCATCTGTGTGCTCTCTTTTCCTGGGTAGCATGAACCTTCCCAGGTGCCAGGAGAGAGACTAGATGAGGGGAGAAGGCTGTGCATGTTCACCTGCGTTTTGGCCTCTGTAGGTACCAAGAGAGCTCAGCAAACACCTGCTCCCAGTGCTTGGCAGACACAAGGGGAAGAATAGCTGGATTCTGAGCCTGTTTTTGCTCTAAGGTAGCATCCTAGGAAGGCAAGGTCTTTCAGAGGAGAAAATATGGCAACTGGGTTTTCCAGCTGATACTTAGCCTGCTGTCTCTACTAACAAGCCTGGGATCCTGCAAGGCTTTTTCCTATTGGCAATAAAGAAGGAAAGAGATGACACTAACATCCACACGAGGTGCTGCCCTTGCAGCCACCATCCCTTCTTTGTCTAACTGGCAGGCACAGATGAGATGCAGATAGCATGCAGGTCCCTACCAGGCCCCAGGAACCAGCTCCTGGTCCCTTGTGCAGTCACTAATGGCCAGCCACTAATAAATAAAAACTCCAAAAAACACTGCATCCTGCTTGTCCTGTGTGAGTCAATAAGTGTGCCCAGGAGAAATGTCCTTGGCATTTAGGAATAGCTGGTTAAGGCAGATGGAGGATGGACTTGTTTTCTAGGGTCAAAGTCCAGCTCTTCTTCCAGCCTTACCTCAGGAACCCCAAATACTGTCTCAGCGTTCACTCTGCAGAGTTCAGCTTGCGAACTTGTAATCACAGTGCTTCTGTGATACTTAACTAAAAGGAAGCAACTGGATTAGGCAGTTAAGTTATGCTCCAGGGACAAGAGCAAAACAAAAGGCATGAAATGAAGACAGGAAAAGACACACACTGAATTTGAAGGAGTGAAAAAACAGGACTGGGTGGACAAAGCAGGAAATCTGGGACAAAATACAAAACACTAACTGGTCTCAGCAGCTCAAGCCAGCACCTCTCCTTCCCAATACATTTCAGAAAAATCCGCTCGGAACAAGGAGTGGGGACAACAGTGTTGATAACAAAAATACAAAGGGCTGGATAACAAAAGAGCTGTTGTTCTAATCAGCATGAAATGACCAGGATGACCGGTAGCAAAACCAGGACACACCTAGGGATGCTGTGAGGCACCAACCATGGAGCAACATGTTTCTAACAGAATTCGCAGCCTGACCACCTGACTAGGGCTTTGACCTTCACCTGCCTTAGGTCTGCAGCAGCATCTCCAGGTCAGACAAAGAGTAACAGTGTGTAGTTGATTTCCTCAGGGCTAAAATCGGTAAATAAGTTCACCTCTTGGTTTAGGGCAATGGGTAGCACTCCAGGCTCTTAAGTGGCAGATGAGTCCCCTCAGAGCCTGAAGGAAACAATCAGCCAGCATGTCTGCAGACCAGTTAGCTTCCTCCTGGGCCAAGTGGAAGGTAACATTGGTTGGCTGGCAGGCAGTGAGGTGGCCCAGAGGTGGGATGGACTTGCATATGGCCTTGAGAATCTTGAGGCACAGAGATCAGCAACCTTAGTCTGCTTGGTCCAGAGCCCACAGGCATGCTGTCTTGGCTGGATGCAGGCTCAGCCATCACAGGTTGTCATACTGGGCTAGCCAGTCTCTGGTCAAGACAGAGTCACCAATGATGGTAGGAGATGTCCCACTCATCACTTATAGTGTCAAGGCCTCTGCAGGCAGTGCTGGTTAGATCACACAGTTCAAGATGGATTTATGGATGGCCAATTAATGGAGCAAACCACTACTACTACCTTCTCAAATGTGTCTGTCTGCCACTGTCTTTGAGGAGACGCAGCCTCCTACTATGCAGTGGTCCCAGTAACTGATACTATGAAGAAAATACTGTGGCTTCTTATGATGAACCAGGAAGCAGCCAGGGACGTTGATGATAGTGTCCTCAAGAATAGGGGCATAATGAGTTGATACGGTCAGCTGTTACCACCTGTAGTCATCACAGAGGCTGCCACTCAAGTACATGTACTGAAGTAGAAGGTTAAGCAGCTTGGTCCAAGGCAAGCTCCAGAGCACATATATTCATGGCAGCTTGCGTGGCCCAAGCCTGCTCTTTGGTAGGAATGGCTGCCCAGTTCTGGGAGTAAGAAAGAAGTTTCTCCTGCAAGGTCATGCAGAGTTGTGACTTCTTCAAGTCTCCCTGGCCCTTCATGGCCAATGGCTTGGGCCAGGCCAGGCAGAATATATCTGTGTCCAAGGCCAACACATATGTGAGAGGCCAACACATATGTGAGAAGGGTCTGCAGGGACTGGCTCAGGCCTCTTTGTGTCCCTGCTCACCATTCATGGGGAGCCTATCCAGTCTGATTGTTCTCAGTTCTGTTTCTCTGAATGACCCAGGTAAGTGGGGCTCGTAAGGACACTGACTGGCCAACTATACATCTGCTTAACCACCAGTGTGGCAATGCCCAGCATGGCTACTCCACCTACCCTAGCACAGCCGGGCACTGGAGAGCCAAGGTCAATGGCCATGCCAATGCCATTGTCATCATTCTTGCTTTGCACCTGCCATAGCTCACCTATGCATTTTGATGCACTTGAGTGGTGGGGATGGGAAGAGCAGGAGTGTACACAGAAGGCACCTTTGTCCTCCCTCCTTGTAGTCACGGTTCAGAAATAAAGGAGAGGATCCTACCGTCCTCTCTCAAGGCCCTTCTCCAGCAGCTTCTCTAGGTCTTGGGATATCCTAGCTTCTGTTTTTTCCAGAAACCACAGTGGATGGAGGCAAAGTAGATGTTTTGATCAGTGGAACAAAGCTCTCTGCACTGGAGCAGCAGTGCCCAGCAGAGATTCAGTGTGGCCTCTCAGCTCCTTGGGGCATGGAGGACAGGCAGGGATGGTGTCACACTCCACTGACTGTGTACTAACAGTCCTGGATTTGCCTCTTGCCCTGTGCCTCTTCTAGGTAATCTATTAACATGACCTCTTTACTTCAGGGACATGACTTTTTTTTTGGAGGGGGAATTCTTGTTTTTTTTTTTTTTAAATCTTTTTTAGCAACAGACTCTAGCTGGCCTTGAACTTACTATGTAGGTAGCTATGATGCTGGTGTCAAATTTGCAGTGACCCTCCTGAAGCCTCTCAAATGCTATGATTATAGGAATATGCCACTATTCCCAGAAAGGGACTGTAACATTAGGACAGTAATTTATCCAGTAAACATTAATACTCTTCTTGGCATATAAGGTTAAAGCTTTGGCAGTTCAAAGCCAAAATATTTGAAAATATTTAAACCTCTTACAGAAATTTGGGTTAACAAAGTCAACTGAAAAAGATTTCTAGAATTGGGCAAAGTAAGTTCAGAATTTTCCTTAAAACTTCTGCCAAAGGGGCTAACCTCAGCAGAGGGAAGACACCCAGAATTATGACCTGCCTGGGTGCCCCTGAAAGAATCTCTATAGAAGACTTTTGAACTGCATGCTAGGCAGTAAGTCTATCTCTGGGTCCAGAGACTGGGCAACTTAGTGACTCAACGTCTGAAACCTTCTCTGAGAATAAGAAAGAACAGGTCTGGGGATATAGCTCAGTGTAAAGGTTCTGGATTCAATCCTTAGTATCATAAACAAAAACAAAATTTGATTTACTCTCCTTAGCTTGTTTTTCTAAAAAGTAATTTCTGAAGCTTTATCTTTTCTGAATTAGGATCTGAACCAGTGTTTCAATAACCCCAATTTTATCCCTCTCCTCACCAGAAAGCCAGAACTGTTTTAATCCTTTAATAAAGACTTGCCTCTTCCCGTTGGGTATCTATAGTCAGTCTATTATTCAGCTTGAGGTGCTTTATTTTTCAGTCTTTTTGTTTGTTTCTGGTACCAGAGATCGAACTCAGGACCTTGTGATTGCTAGGCAGGCACTTTGGCATTGAGCTAAATCCCCAGCCCTTATTTTTCAGTCTTGAAGATAATAAATATCATTATTCCCAGGGATGGCTCATACAAGTTAGGCAAGAGCTCTATCACAGAGCTGTATCTCCAGCCCTTTTTGAGACAGGGTCTGGCTAAACTACCCAGGCTGGCCTTGAACTCGTGATCCTATTGGCTCAACTTCCCACAGTGTGGGGATCACAGGCATGTACCACCATGCTTTCAGAGGTGTTTTTATTTTTTAATGAATTAGTACTGAAAGACTGAACTTAGGGCCTTTGCACTGAGCTTGATCTCCAGCTCTTTCTTCTTTTATTTTGGGACACAATCTCGCTAACTCACTAAGTTGCCAGGCTGCACATGAACCTGTGTGATCTTTATACTGCAGCCCTTTGATGAGTGTGGACTACTATGGTTTTAAAGCAATGGGCAAAGGTCAGGCTGATGATCCTCCTTTGATATCAGCAAGGTTCTAAGATGCTACACCAAACCATTCTGAATCTAGATTGCATTCTCCAGGCTTCCTAGTATGTCTCTCATTTATACAGTTATCTTTTTCTTTTTTTGTCTTTTTCGTTTTTATCGGTACCAGGGATTGAACTCACGACCGCACACTTGCAAGGCAAGCGCTTATGCCGCTGAGCTAAATCTCCAACCCCTTATACAGTTATCTTAATCTCACATGTTTATATTCTAAGCTTCTTCCCTTCCTTAGTTCAATTTTAAATTTGAAGTAGCAATCTTCTAAAGCCTCTTTACCAAACACAGAATAGAATCAAACAAATAAGGTGTTTTATTTTGTTTTGTTTCTTGTCTTTTTGAGACAGGGTCTCACCATGCAGTTCAGGCAGACCTTGGGCTCACTTTGTAGCCCAGGCTGGTCTCGAACTTGCAACAATCCTCCTGCCTCAGCCTCCTGAGTGCTGGAATTACTGGCATGCACCACCACACCTGACTAAAACACATAGTTAAGGCAATGTAGCCTTTTCTATTATTTGCTTTTTTTCTCTCTTTAAATTAATTTTGCTGATCCTTTATAATTAAAGATATAATTATGATTATTCCTTTTTATCACTTTCATTTTTACTTTCTAGTTTCTTGTGACCCAATGTTCTCTGGATTGAAGTTCCTTTACTTTTTTTAAAAATCAAAACAGTATTACGGCAGCATAATTAATTTTTCTACTTTCAACAAGGGTCCAGTTGGATGATCAACACTTACCATCAAACTGATAGTGCATGGTTTGATGGATTCGCTCAGTTACACTGGCCAGCCAATCTTGGAAGGATAAAGTCACTTGTGTCTCATCTAACAGCTGACCACAGGCTAGAAAGGAAAAAAAAATTCTTCAATAATTTTATTTTCTTTCAAAGTAACTGAAGTTTGAAAAAGTATAAAGAAAAGTATGAAGTTGAAATCCAAAAGAAGTAGATAGGTCAGGTATAGTGGCACATGCTTATAATCTCAGTGCTCGGGAGGCTGAGGCAGGAGAATTGCTACCAGTAAGAGGTCAGCCTGGGTTACACAGTGAGATTAAGGTCAGTCTGAACTACGTGTGAGACTCTGTCTCAAAAAAATGAAAAGTAAAAACAAAAATAAAGTAGATAAACTAAGTGAATTATTTTCAGACTTTTTTTGGTACTGGGAATCAAACTTTTCAGATTTCTTTTAAAATTGACATATAATAACTGTATATATTTATGGAATAAAGTATGGTATTTCAATACAACTTTTTTTTTTTTCAAGACAGGGTTTCATGCTGGAGATTTAACTCAGTGGTATAAGTGCCTGCCTGCAAGCACTAAGTCCTGAGTTTGATCCCTGGTACTCCTCCCCCTCCCCCAAATAAAAAGAAGGTTTCACTATGTAGTTCAGGATGGCCTTGAAGTCTTGAACTCACTTTGTAGCCTAGGCTGACCTCAAACTCATAGTGATCCGCCTGCCTTAGCCTTCCAAGTGCTAGGATTACAGGTTTGTACCACCATGCCTGTCAGTACAAATTATTTTGTACTGGGAACTGAACTCAGGACCTCATGCTTGCCAGGCAGGTGCTGCACCTCTAAGCTATATCTCTAGTAGCAATACAAACTTAAAAAAAAAAAAAAGAAATCCATTTAGAAAAATAAATGACACTCTGGGGGCCTGACTAGACTGGGTAATTTAGTGACTTACAAAGACAGCCTCAAAATGAAAAATAAGGGCTGGTGATGGAGCTTAGTGTGAAGGCACTGATTTCAATCTCAGTATGGGAATAAATAAACAGAAATGAAACCTCTTGGAAACTAAAATGTTTAAGATTAACTCAAAAGTTAGTCATTGTGCGACAGCCTCCTAAGTATCTGGGATTAGAGATGTGCACCACTGTGCTTGGCTTCTCAAGAAGTATTTTTCATTGCATAATTGTAGTATACATTTTTTTTAAAACTCTGAATCTCTGTTTCAACTGTACTGTGGGTAATGAGCAGTAAAAGGAACACATCTTATGAGATGTTAGTAGTTTTTGCTTTTGTGCTGGTAAGAATCTATTACAGGGTCTTGTTGCGTGACAGGGAGCTTCCTGTTGGTAATTTTTGCTTTAAAGATATGATTTAGAGCAGAGGATATAGTTCAATAGTACAGTACTTGCCTAGCATACAAGGTCCTTGGTTTGATTCCTAGCATTACAAAAACAAAAAAAGACCTAATTTAGTTTTTTGTGTTTACTAGTCTCTTAAGCCTTTTAAAAGGTACTTTAAAAACTTTTAAGATAATTTTATATTCATAAAAAATTATAAGAAATACAAAGCTTGCATTTGTACCCTTTTCCCAGATTCCCCCAGTAGTTAAATTCTGTAAAATTGTAGTACAATATCACAATTAGGAAAATGATTTGGACACAATCCAGTGACCTTACCCATATTTCCCCAGTTTTACATGTACTCATGTATGGTGTGGGTACATAATGGTCTATGTAATTTTTATCACATGTGTAGACATGGGTGACCACGACAGCCAAGACACAAAATAATTCTGTTGTGAGATTTCCCAGCAACCACTAATCTGTTCTCCAGATCTATGATTTTACACATAACTTTTTCTTTTCTTTTTTTTGAGACAGCGTCTCACTATGTGATTCGGACTGGCGTTAAACTTGCTATATAGCCTAGGCTGGCCTCTCAGCAATCCTCCTGGCTCAGCCTCCTGAGTGCTGGCATTATATATGAGCACCACCACACGCAGCCACATAACTTTATTTTTGGGCAAGATTTTGAAACTGGTGGAACAAGAAAGATCTCAGCTCATATAAACCCATATGCTGCTTGTGGTTGTTAGCAGTACTTTGGGAGACAACATGCAGCAGTTCTTAAGATTATTTTGCTTCTGATTTAAGGATAACTTACCATCACTGTAGCCTATTCTAGTAGAGGGAAACTTACACTGCCTTTTTAATGAGGAAGCAACCACAGGCTTTTTCGGGCCACTCTTCCTTAGATTACTGCTTACTGCATCTTGAGGCATTAGTGAACTATTCATCTGTGCACCTAAATCACACACAAATCATGATGGTGTTTAAAAACATATCTGCAGAAAATAAACTAGTTTGATATTCATTTCTAAAAAATTTGAAACATAAACCCAGTCTTTGCTAATTTCTAGGTTAGCTTCACAGTTTCTAGAAGGAATCAGCATTAGCTTTTGTACATAAAATTTAAACATTTTATGCTCTTTACTGGAAAATGTCGGAGGTGGGAAACAGAAGTGAATGAGGAAAGGAATTTATCCATTGTCCAATTTTGATGAATTGTCTTCCTTCTTCTTCTCTGTGAATAGTTTGTTTTACTATATTCATGATTTCAAGTATGTCAAGGTTGCCAAGATTAGAAAAAAAATTCTTTTGAATTACAGATAAACTTTTTTTTTTTTTTTTGGTACTGAGAATCAAAATAACAACCTTGCACTTGCCAGGCAAGCATTTGTGCCGATAAGCTAACTCCCCAGCCCAACATTATTTTTTTTTACTATATTAAGTATGTTTCAAATATTGTATGGGAGATAGTTATAGAAATTATTAGTTATTTTATCATAGATTCAAATTTAACTGAGTGAACATTTTAGAGCTCTGTTGTTTTGTTTTGTTTTTGTGTGTATGTATATGGGTATGTGCATGTTTTCAGACAGAGTCTCACTATGCAGTTCTGGCTGGTCTTGAGCTCACTATGTAACCCAGGTTGGCTGCAATCCTTGGGCCTCAGCCTCCAGTGTCCTGGAATTACAAACATGTGCTACCACCCAGCTTGGTTTTTGGTTTTTTTGTGTGTGTGTGTTTTTCTTTTTTATCGGTACCAGGGATCGAACTCACGACTGCCTGCTTGCAAGGCAGGCGCTTATGCCACTGAGCTAAATCTCCAGCCCCGGTTTTTGGTTTTTTGAGACAGGGTCTTACTATGTAGTTCAGGCTAACCTTGAGCTCACTACATAGCCCAGGGTGCCTCAAACTCACAGCAATCCTCTAGCTGGCTTCCCAAGTGCTGGTATAGACATGAGCCACCACGTCCAGTCAGCTGAGCATTCTAAACTTTATCTAGCACCTGAATGGCCTAAACATTTCTCAAATTCTTTTTGAAAGAATTAGCCCAGGCTGGCCTTGAACTTCGGATCCTCTTGCCTTAGCCTCTCAAATGCTGGGATAACAGGTATGTGCCATCGTGCTTCTGTCTTTATTGTAATTTTTAACAGCTGCCTATTATTCTACAGCAAAGTAGCTTTATGATGGTTCATTTAACTATACTTAGTGTATCCTACTTATAATATTTTTAACACAGTATTGCATATAATCCATAAGATAACATCTCCGGAAAAAAATGTTTTTCAATGCCAAGTATTATTTCCTTAAAAATAATATTTAGAAATGGAATTACAGGGGAGGGGATTTAGCTCAGCAGCATAAATGCCTACATGGCAAATGTGAGGTTGTGAGTTTGATCCCTGGTACAAAAAAAAAGAGAAATAGAGAGAGAAAGAAATGGAATTATAGTATTATTCAGATGATTAAATGCAGGTATCTTGTTCTCTGAGTAATTGAAGATAACACTATGCAATGAATATGCCATTGTTACTCCCTTATTGTTGTGTTTTGAAATTTTATTTTAAAATAAAAAAGAAAGGTTAAAAATAATAATAGCCGAGTGTGGTGGCACACACCTGTAATCCCAGCACTCTGGAGGCTGAGGCAGGAAGACTTTTGCTAATTTGAGACCAGCCTGGGCTACACAGTAAGCTCAAGGCCAGCCTGAACTGCATAGCAAGACCCTGTCTCAAAAAGAAAACATAATAATAACAATAATAACAATAATAATAATAATAATGATGATGATGATGTGCAACTTGACTTGCAAAAAAAAAAGGAATTCTATAAATCAATCAAAAGGTAGAAACATGTTTCCCTCACTAAGAATTTCAGGTTTTCCTGAACATTTAACAATTTGTGCTCTATTGCTGCTAGAGTTGCTTCTCTACAACAACAAAATAACCATGTTTTGTTTCTTCATCTTTCTCACTCATGATCCTTCTGTCTCAGTCTCCCAAGTCTAAAGTAAGAAGTATGTACCACAACAGCTGATCATTTAAGGTTCTTAACAGATACCACAAGCTGTTTTGTTTTGTTTTTTGAGACAGGGTCTTACTATGCAGTCCAGGCTAGCCTGGAACTCCTTGTGATTCTCCTGCCTCGGCTTTTGAAGCGGTGGGATTATAGGTGTGTGCCACCATAGCTGGCCATAAGCTATTTTTAAAAATGGTTATAGTAATTTATACAAAATTAGCCATGACCAAGACCCAGGATTTCACCTTTGGCTCTGGTCTCATCATTTAAAAACTCTTTGCTAACCTGGTAGCAAGTTATTTTAATTTTGTATTTCCTGCTGTTTCAGCCCCCAAGTGTTGGAATTATCTGTGTGTGTACACCCAGCACTAAGAATTTAAATTTAATGTGTGTAGTATAGCAGTCCCTGATCTGTAATGGTCTTACTTAAAGTTTTTTGACTGGACAATAGTGCAGAAGTCATCCTATCTATAGAAAGTACAGTTCAAATGTTGGATTTCAATCTTTTCCTGAGGGAGTAATATTTGGTATAATACTATTCCACAATGCTAAACAGCAGCAGTGAGCCACAGATCCCAGTCAGCCATGGGATGACAAAGAGAAACAACTGATCTTCTGTGTTATTAAGCTCTGATGTTTAATAGGTTAGGTGTATCACATGAATTTTCAACTCATGATATTTCCAATTTATGATAGGTTTAGCAGGATGTAAATATCACAAATTGAGGAACACCTATCTATTTACATATATACATAAATACACAAGCACCTAAACAACAAACAACAATCTGTACTCCTAAATTAGGGTGGAAAATATAAGTTACTTGGTGCTGGGGATTGAACCCAGGGTCCAATGCATGCGAGGCATGTGCTCTATCACTGAACTATACTTCCAATCCACAAATTGTTTTTTTTTTCTTTTTAAGAAAAAAAATGTTTTATAAAAGAAAACTTCGTCATTCCATCCTAAGGCAGGTTAAGGTATACAATTAGTCTGAATGAATGAACAAACATATACACAATAAAAATGGAATTTGGATACATCATATTTTACAACAGAACTAGCTGTTAACTTCACAAGAATCATAAGAGAGGTAAAATATTTTCAGGAAAAAAGAAAACTGTAAGAAGGGTTGGGGGTGCAGTTTAGTGGTAGATACTTACGTGGCATGTGCGAAGCCCCAGGCTCAATCCCCCAGCACAGTATAAAACAAAAATGAAACCCATAAGAACACAAATTTTTTAAAAAATTTCTGAGATTCAGGGAAACTCATAAAAAAATCTCCAAAGACAAACAACCTAACAAAGAAACAAACAAAACAGATCTTACCAGATACTTCATCCTTTTTCCTCTTTTTTGGCTTAGAGGCAGGAGACTCAGAAGCTGACACAGTTGACTCTGACTGACAACCTAATTGGGGTACAATAATCTCTTTAAGACCTGAAAAATAAAAGATTTGTGAATTAGTAACACTATCTAAACATATAGGCCACATGTAGAGAAAAATTCATTCATAAAATTCTAAATCTCGAGGTTGGGGATTTAGCTCAGCGGCATAAGCACCTGCCTTGCAAGCAGGCGGTCGTGAGTTTGATCCCCGGTACCAGTAAAAATGAAAACGACAGAAAAAAAAAAAAAAATTCTAAATCTCTAGAATGAAAGATGGAGAGAGTGACTGCTTTAAAACAAGTCCACTGAAGGAGTATCCCAAAATGTGCTTCTGTTCATAAGACCATTAACTTGATAGAAAGATCTATAGACTACAAAGTTCAGAGCTGCTACCAGTTAAAATAAAGATCATAGGAAATGGAAAAAGGGCTGTGCTCAGTGGTGGAACACTTGCTTAGCATGTGCAAGGCCTAGGGTTCAATTCCTATCTCTGGGGAAAAAAAAAAAAGAAAAAAAGAAAAAATAAAGAAAGGAAAAGGTTCTCTGAAAAACAAAAAATCTGTAAGAACAAAAATTAAGTGTTAAGTGTTCTGGGTGTGCTGGTATAGGCCTGAAATTCTAGCACTTTGAAGGCTGAGGCAGGAGGATAGAAAATCTGAGCTCAACCTGGGCAACTCAAAAGCCTGCCACAAAATAAAAAACAAGCAGATCAAAAGGCTGAGATTATAGCTTAGTGTGAAGGTTCTGGGTTCAGTTCCCAGTACCACAATCAAAACAACAACAAAAAACAAAACAAAAAAAACCCAAGTACCTATAAGACAAAAATATTTCAGTGACAACAAAAGACTTAAAGAAACCTTTAAGGTCTTTTGAGCAAGGTGCTAAGTTTTCCTCATCTTCAGAAATAAAAAATAAGCCAAAATCAAAGGGATATTTTTGTTGTTCTTAGTTTCTTAGCTAACTTTGCTAGATTCATGATCTCAATAAAAATGCCCAAGTTTTTTCATCATTAATTTCAACAATACAACCAACCAACCTTAATGTAAGTGTGCTGATTGGGGTTAAAAGGAGAAATGGCTTTTCACCTGAATCATCTGAAGGTTGCTACGTTACCACCTAGGTTCTGAAGGTTACCAGCTCCAAAAGCATCAGAGGAACTCTTTCACTGCCATTTTAAAAAAACAAAGTGTTTGGGGCTGGGGATTTAGCTCGGCGGCATAAGCACCTGCCTTGCAAGCAGGCGGTCGTGAGTTCGATCCTTGGTACCGATAAAAATGAAAAAGACAAAAATAAACAAACAAAAAAAAAACCCAAAGTGTGTGTGTTAATCATACCACCTACCGCTGGAATCAAAATTTAGGAAGTCTGAGAATTCCTGAGCCAAAGTCTCATCACTGGCAAAGGCACAGATGCAAGCAAAGAAATGAATGCATCTCTGGGCTGCATCATCCTTACAGGCACTCGACTTGTGCGATTTCACAGTCTGGCAGGAGCAGAAGAAGCGCCGTTCAGGCAAGCTTTTGGTGCTGATTTTCTGCACAAAGGAAGTATGCAAATACCCCAAACTATGCTTCTGGCTTGCCTTGCATTTCACCACCAGAATGTTTTTGGTGATCCTCTGTACCAAAGGACCTGTGGGTTCAGTGGCCAGTTGCCAGATGGTCTGTTTGGTTTCTGGAGAGGCTTGCATGGCGTTCAGGACTGAGCTCTTCAGGGTCAGAGGGGTGGCCTCTGCCTGGCAGTTCACTGCCAGCTTGATATGCTGGCACTGGTTTTCCACAACACCTTGCGTGGCAGCTTTCAAGCAGGAGGGAACATAACACCGACCAGAGCTCAGCTGAGTGATGATTGTCCCATCCACGGTCTGGATTGTTGTCTCTGAAACACCTAGCTCCACAAAGCATCGATAATCAGGGCCGCGATCTCTCTGCCGAACTGAGTAGACCTGCAGGTCGGAGCCTGTGATGATCTTGACAGCTTCAACACTAGGCTGCTTTCTTGCACCATAGCGGAAAATGGCCCCACAGGTCTTGTTCTTACAGCTCAGTCCCCGGGTTCCATTGTATGTACCACATCGGGGACATTTTCTGATTCCCCTCAAAGTGGCCTTCCCCAAATCAGATAAGAAAGCTGGGACTTTAGTCCGCAGAGAGTTTGGTTCCATTTTTCACAGGCCCTGGAAAGACAAGCCCAGCAGCATGAGTATACATTCACATACAAAAGAAAGTTAGAAGTCATTTATGGTATTTAATATAGAAAGTTAAAATGTAAAGAAGCTATCTAATACCTTCAAATCATACCACTAAACAACATAAATTTTTTATTTTATTTTTGGTATCAAGAATCAAACTCAGGACCTTGCACTTGTCAGGCAGGCACTTATGCCACTGAGCTATAGCCAGCCACAATTTTTTTTTTTTTGGTATCGGGGATTGAACTCACAACTTGGCGCTTGCCAGGGCAGGTGCTTACATTGCTAAGCTAAACCCCCAATCCCAATTTTTTAAAACAAAATAAAAGTGAAGGAAACTTTGCTTTTCATATCTGCATGTATTTTTTTTTTTAAATCTTACTATAGCAACCAAAGTATTCTTCCCTCCCCCTTCACCCCACAACAAGATAAGGTCTCACTCCATAGTTCAGGCTTTTTTGTTTTTTTTTTTTTTAAGTCCTGATTGTACTGCTGAGCTATATCCTCGGTGTTCAGGCTACTTCTGAACTCTCTCTCTCTCTCTCTCTCTCTCTCTCTCTCTCTCTCTCTCTCTCTCTCTCGTCTTGCTATGCAGTTCAGGCTGGCCTTGAACTCACTTTGTAGCCCAGGCTGATGTTGAACTTGCAATGATCCTCCTGCCTCAGCCTCTGAAGTGCTGGGATTACAGGTGTGAGCCACCAAAGGTGAGTTAGTATTTCTCATTTTTAAAAAAAATTTTATTATCTGGGCTCAGCCTCCTGAGTGCTAGGATTACAAGAGTGTGCCACCACACCCAGTTCAAAATGTATTTTGAAGTAGGAAAGCAAATGTTCAAATGGGGAGGGGAACAAGAGAGAGGGGAGGAGAAAAGTAAACAACAAAAAAAGAAGGAAAACATGAAAACAAAGCTTTTGTAAATGGGAAGAGGAGGAGGGTTGGAAGGGAGGGTAGGGAAATTGGGAAAAAAATGAAACGTTATATCATATACAGATATAAATTCTCTTTGATGAATATGATCATTATGAATATCTAACATGTAATAAAAACTAAATCTAATTTACATGTTTACAGTACATAATGGTTACATGCATTGTGGAGAACTAACTCATACATATACCTATCTTAATTCTTTTTAATTTCCTTCTCTACCTTTCCTCCTCCCTCCCTTCATCTTTTGGTCCTCTTCTCATTTGCTAAATATCTACCCCCATAAAATAAAAATAAAAAATTTAAAGAACTATTTCCCCTAATTCCCATTATCTAGCTTTAATTTTGCTCTGCAGTTGATTTATACTTTGAGCATCTCATCCAAAGTATTTTTCCACATTAGACTTTTTCTATACAACACTGAAGATAGTTAACCTAATCTTGTCTTTTGTTTTGTTTTTGACTATGGGCCTTTGACAAAGCTACATCCCCAGCCCTCTTGTTAAATTACCCAGGTTGGGCTCAAATCTGGGATCCTCCTGACTCAAGTCTCCCAAATAGCTAGGATTACAGGTGTATGCTACAGAGCCTGGCTAGTTAATCTAATTTTTATGTGAACAGATGTTTGTGTAAAACAGCAAGTACTAGACAACATGAAAGATAGGTTCCTTCCCTTCTACCACTGTCCCCAAATTTCAACCCAGTCTTACCTGTACCGGCTGCCAGGGCATCTGGAAAACAGTATAATCTGAATTCACAAAACCTAAAGTGTATGTCACTAATTTGTGATGATCACAGAGGAGAGGTAAAGGCATGATCATTTGCAGAGTAAATGATACTGCCTAACCCAAGTCTTCTAAAGTCTGAACTCTATGGTGTAACAATGCAGACATTCTGCCTCTTCCTTCTTGACCAGCCAATGACAAAGCTCCTGTTCAATGTTCCAAAAGATTTCTACCACCTTAAGTGGAGATCTTGGACATCTACAAGAAAAACAAGAAGAAAATAAAATTATATAAAGGTGGGATTCCTCTCAGACATCAGACAGAATAGGGGCTAAGGCAGTAGAATATGTACAGCACGTATGAGGTTCTGGGCTCAATCCTCGGTGATAGAGGCAGCAGCAGCAGCAACAATAGTTGTAATAATAAATCATGCAATGTAAATCTAATTCTTTCATAATTGCGAAGTATTTGAAGTTTTAGTGAAAGTAGTTAACTGGTTTGTATTTCCAACTACAAGAAGATAAAACAGTGCTAATGTTATTATAAAGGGGATTCACAAGAACACCTAGTACCATGGTATATAATTATTTCCTAATAGTAGTGCATTACACTTTTAGAGTGTTTCTTAAAGTACTTTCCCACTATTTAAATTTCACAATATGAGGACTCATTTAAGCCAATAACCGTTCTGAAGATAAATAAGTTAAAGGGCTGGAGGTATAGCTCAGTGGTGGAGTACTTTCCTACCATGTATGAGATTCTTGGTTCAAGCTCATAAAAAAATAGGCGAAGGAGATGGAGATGGAGGAGGAGATGGAGAAAACGACAAAGGACAAAGAAGAAAAGTAACTTGCCTCTGGTCACTGAGAAAAATCAGTAATGTAGTTTCCACTAATTCACAGAATCTAAGAGTGCAAATTTTTACTTAAGATTTTTCCCCCTCAATATTTATTACGAGCCAGATGTAGTGTCACGTCGTAATCTCAGCTGAGGCAGGAGGATCACTGAGAATTTGAGGCCAGCCTGGACTACATAGTGAGTCCCAGTCTAGCCTGAACTACCTAGCGAGATGCTTTCTCAAAAAACCAAACTAGGGGGCTGGGATTTAGCTCAGCGGCATAAGCGCCTGCCTTGCAAGCAGGCAGTCGTGAGTTCGATCCCCGGTACTGATAAAAAGGAAAAAGATAAAACAAACAAACTAACTAACTAACCAAACAAAATATATGTAATTGATTATGAAAACTCCCAGGCATATAGAAAAACAGAACTGTGAACACTTCATGTATTCACCCACTACATTTTATAACTAACATTTTATCACATTTACTTCATCACATCTATTCTCCCTGCTTCCACTCAACCCCTCCTTTTTTTTTCAGTGCTGTGTATGAATCATGCAAAGTGAGTTGTAGGTATCAGTTCAGCATGCATATCTTTTTAAAAAGTTCAACATTTTTAATGCTTTCTTAAAAAGGCAACCTGCTTGTGATTTTTATTTTTATTTATTTATTTTGATACTGGGGATTGAACTCACAACTGTGCGCTTGCAAGGCAGGCACTTATGCTGAATTAAATCCCCAGACCATGCCTGCAATTTTTTTTTTGGGGGGGGGTCTTTTTCGTGTTTATCGGTGCCAGGGATCGAACTCATGACTGCCTGCTTGCAAGGCAGGCACTTATGCCGCTGAGCTAAATCCCCAGCCCCCTTGCCTGCAATCTTTAAGTAAGCTGTTAACAGTGTTCCTTCACCATTCCAAAGTAGACTCTTGATAAAATATCTTCCCTCTATATCTTTAGTAGTCAACCAATTTATTTTTTGTTTTTTAGTATCAGGAATTGAACTAACAACCTTGTGCTTGCTAAGCAGATGCTATGCCATTGAGCTACATTCCTGGCTCAGTCAACTCATTTAAACACTAGAAAATATAAATAAGAGTAGTCTAGGGCTGAGGATGGAGATCAGTGGTGCAATACTTACTCAGCAGGCTGTAGGTCCTGGGTTCAGTTCCCAGAACCAAGAAAAGAAAAAAAGGAAAGAGAAGAAAGGAGAGAAACTAACAGAGAAAATGATTTAAAAAATGCCTACCCAGGGGCTGGGGATTTAGCTCAGCGGCATAAGCGCCTGCCTTGCAAGCAGGCGGTCGTGAGTTCAATCCCGGTACTGAAAAAAATGAAAAAGACAAAAAAAAAAAAAGCCTACCCAAACCAGGCATGGTGGTACACTCCTGTAATACCAGCACTTGGGAGGCTAATGTAGCAGAATCATTTGCAAGTTTGAGACCAGCCTGGCCTACAAAGTGAGCCCAAGGACAGCCTGAACTGCATGGTGAGCCTGTTTCCAAAAAAAAAAAAAAAAAAAGCCTACTCTGCCAGGCACAGTGATACATGCCTTTAATCTCAGTTACTTGGGAGGCTGAGACAGACAGGAGGATTGCAAATTCGATGCCAGCTCGAGAAATATAGTGAGACCCTGGCTCAAAATAAAATAACAGAAAACAATAAAATAAAATAAGTTCAGTGGCATAGGGTTGCCTAGTATGTAAGGCCTTGGGTTTAATCCCTAGCACCACAAAATGAATAAATTTAATTTTAAAAAAATTTTAAATGCTTTTTCATTAGTGCTATGAAATAATCTCCAACAGTAGTCTCTGCTAGTGAATAAAACTTTGAGAGATAAGATCTACTGCTAAGTTCCTTTACTTTGACACTACTGACATTTAAGGCTGGATCATTCTTTGTTGAGGGGATTGATTGTTCTATGCATTGTTTTTTTGTTGTTGTTTTTGTTTTTGTTTTGTTTTTTTGTCTTTTTCTTTTTTAGCGATACCAGGGATCAAACTCACAACTGCCTGCTTGCAAGGCAGGCGCTTATGCCGCTGAGCTAAATCCCCAGCCCCTGTTCTATGCATTGTAAGATGCTACAATACTTAGCAGCATCTCTGGACTTTACCTACCAGTTGTAAAAAACAAAATACAAAAATGTCTCCCAATAATATCAACCCTACATAAAAACACAATTGTAGAATGACTCCTCCATGTACCTTACACTGGCCTTTTTTTTTTTTTTAGCTTTTATAATTAACACTTTTTCTATTTATCATGTCTATTTACCCTCTTTCCATTAATCCCTCTTTTTTTTATCATGGCTATTTACAAACAAGAAAAACATTAAAATTACACAAAGATGGTATGATTCGTTCTTTTTTTTTTTGTCTTTTTGAGACAGGGTCTCTCTATGCAGTTCAGGCTGGCCTTGAACTCACTTTGTAGCCCAGGCTGGTCTTGAAATCGAAACGATCCTCCTGCCTCAGCCTCCCAAGTGCTGGGATTACAGGCATGAACCACCACACCCAGCTGATTCTTTCTAGAGGCAAAATTTTCCATTAAAAACCACTGATGTAGAGACTGAGCCTGTTTATAGAACACTGTCTTAACAGTTCAATAATCTTACTGGTAAATTCAGTCAAACATGGGTTCTAGGCAGGCATGGTGGTACATGCCTGTAATCTCAGCATTTAGGAGACTGAGGCAGGAGGATCATTGTGAGTTAGAGGCCAGCCCGGGCTACACATTAAATTCAAGGCCAGCCTGAACTGCATAGTAAAACCCTGTCTCAAAAAAAAAAAAAAAAAATCATAGGTTCTCAGGAGAATGTCATTACAAAGTGAAAACACAGAGGCGGCACATGCCAGTAATCCACACACTCTGGTAGGCTGAGTTAGCCCAAGTTCTAGCCCAGTCTGGGCAATTTAATGACTTAGTGAGATTCTGTCTCAAAAATTAAAATGGACTAAAGATGTAGCTCAGTGCAAAGGGCTGGGTTCAATGCCTAGTACTAGGGGGGAAAAAGGCCCTGTGTTCAATTCCTAGTAATGCAAAAACAAAACTAAGCAAGATTTGGTTTACCCTCCAGCATGATTATCTCAGTGACCAAATCCTTTAATTCCTGAGCTTCCAGTTTCATACTGATAATTGATTAAATAAACTGGAAAAAATATTTCCTGTCTATTAAGGGAGAAGTGATTTAACATTAGATTGTTGTGAAGTCTTAAGGTGCTCGAGGTATTACTTCTACTTTTTTGATTATGCCTTGTACAGGATAAATTTGTGTCTTTTTCATCACTGAGACACAATACTTGACAAGCACAACTTAAAAGAGGTCAAATTTTGGCTCACAGTTTGTAGAGGTTTCAGTCCATAGTTAGCTGGCTCCAACGTGGCATGGCAGAGGCTACTCATGGCAATGGCAGTGGAGCAGCACAGCATTTAGTCCATCTCTAACAGCGTATGAAGGGAAGTGCTAGGACAGGAACATCCTTCCCAGTCATGCCTCCAGTGACCCACTTCTTCCAACCATGCCCTAACCGTGTAACTGCGAGCCAGCTATCCCATTCCCGCAATCCAGTCACCTTCCATGAGGTTCTTGGGGGACATCTAAACATAAAACACCCCACCCTGACCCCCAAAAGGCTCATGCCCATCTCATTATGCAAACTGCATTTAGTCCATCTCTAAGTTGTCAGTCTTTAACAGCTTCAGCACCGCTGGAAAGTCCAAGTCCAAAGTCTCCTTTGAGACTAAAGGTGAACTGTTAGCCGTGAGCCCCTGTAAAATAAAAAAGAAGTCAAACCTTGCTTACACACAATGACACAGGATGAGTATCCCCATTCCAAAAGGGAGAAAAAGGGAAACAGAAAGGAATGGGATCATAGCAAGGTCAAATTCAGTAAGATTAAATCTTGTAGCTCCGGGCTGGGGATTTAGCTCAGTGGCATAAGCACCTGCCTTGCAAGCAGGCAGTCCTGAGTTCGATCCCTGGTACCCATAAAAAGGAAAAAGACAAAAATAAAAAATAAAATCTTGTAGCTCCATGTCTAGCACCTGGTACAAAACGTGGTGATATATACTCCAAAAGGCAGCTGGGCATGGTGGTACACACCTGTATTCCCAGCACTCAGGAGGATCACCATGAGTTCAAGGCTAGTCTGGGCTCTACAGAGTTCAAGCCGGCCTAAAGTACTATACAGAGTTCAACCCTATGAAAAAGAAAAAAAAACAAAAACACAAAATCCTCTAAAATGCTTAGGTAGCCCAAGCCCTATAGTTCCTATAGCATTGCTGGTGAGAGGCTGCCTTTGCTCAATCCTTGTAGCTTTCCTCAGACATTCCAGCTTCTCACTTTCCCAGTGTCCCTGGATCTCCACTGTATTTTTGGTTTCATTTCCACAGTTTCTGAAATCTGGGGAGAAACTTCTGTAACCCCATTATATTCTGCATGCTCATAAAACCAGCACCATGTGGATGACACACCAAGGTGCTGCCACACCAACAGTAACCAGGTCCTTTTGCCTCATACATGCAGAGACAACTGAGTGCCTAGGGGGCTGAGCAGCCTGAACCAAATCTTGGGGAAGCAATTCCCTAGACAGTCCTCAAGAAGGGGGTCCTGGGGTTCTTTTCAGCGCAAAGTCTTTCACTTCCGCAGGCCAACGGGTAAGGCCTGCGGTTTCTTCCATGTCTTCAAGGCAGCCTCCCTATTGTTCTGACTCGAAGTATGTGCCTTTTTTGCGCGGGCGGGGGGGGGGGGTTTGAGACAGGGTCTCACTATGTAGTGTAGGCTGGCCTTGAACCCACTTATGTAGCCCAGGTTGCCCTCAAACTTGTGATCCTTCTGCCTCAGCCTCCTTACTGCTGGGATTATAGGCATGTATCACCACAACTGGCTTTGACTCTTTTTTTGGTACTGGGAATTGAACGCAGGATCTCACACTTGCCAGGCTCATGCTATGCTGCTGAGCTGTATCTCTGGCCCTTGATTGCTTTTTGTTTTTTTTGTTTTTTTTTTTTTTTTTTTGGATATCGAACTCAGGACCTTGAGCTTGCCAGGCAGACACTTATGCCATTGAGCTATGCCATTGAGCCCCTTAGTAGTCTTTTTTTTTGGTACCAGGGATTGAACTCATGTCCTCATGCTTACCAAGCAGGTGCTTATGTCACTGAGCTCTATCCCCCGCCTCTTGATTTCTTCCTAAATACTATGTTTTCAGCAACTAAGCTCTTCTCTGGTCTAATTTTATAGGTCCCCACTCTTTTTTTTTTTTTTTTTTTTTTTTTGGTGGAGCTGGGGATCAAACTCAGGGCCTTGTGTATGCAAGACAAGAGCTCTACCACCAAGGTACATTCCCAGCCCAACAGGTCCCAACTTTGTACGCGCTTCCTTTCTAGTGAAACTTGAAACTTAGTTTTGTCATTTGGGCTAAAGGCCCTTGACAGCATGAATGTTGGGCTGGCTTGAAATTTCCTTTGCTAGATTGATTATCTGCTGTCCTTTATCTCATTCTCCCACAAAGTCTCTGGACACTTGTCTCAGAGCAAAATGTAGACAAATTTTCAGCCAAAACATAGCACAGATGGCCTAAAGTCCAATAGCCAATAGAGTCCTTGTTTCTAACTGAAACATCCCAAGCCTAGACTTTATTATCTGCATTTCTACAAGCATTCAGGTCTTCTAAGCTCTGACCATAATCACTCATCAAGCTTGGCTTACAACATTTAGCCAGCATCTTTAAAACTTTCCAATTCCTCCTATGAGCCAGTTTTAAAGACCTCTGAACTATATGGTCAGATAGCAGCACAGTAATAACATCACTCCCAGTACCAGAATCTGTCTTAGTCACTTTCCTCTTTGCTGGGACAAAATACCCCATATCCACAATTTAAGGAAAGAGAGGTTTATTTTGGTTCATAGTTTGTAGACATTTTAGTCTATAGTCTGCTGGCTCAAAGGTAGGACAGCATGACAGAAGGCCACAGGGAAGGAACAGTTTCTTCATGGCATGGCAGCAGGGAACAAGAGCCAAGGAAAAGAGCCAGGAATGGAAATATTCCAGATCATGCCCACAGTGACCTGTCTCTTCTGAACAGAGCCCACCTCCTAAAATCAAGGCAGCTACAATGCCCCTATAATCCAATCACCTCCCAAACTTCCTGCTTATGATCACCTGGGGCTTTAGGGAAATACCAAGATATAAACCATGATAGTAGCTTTCAAAATTACAAGTACATATTTTAAAAATTATTTTAATTTTAGAATTATTTTAAATTTACAGAAAAGCTACAGATATACTAGAATCCCTACAAACCTTTCATCCAGCTATGAGACCGACATCACAAAGTTTAATACTATACTATTTGATACAATACTATTAACTCTACTACAGACTTTATTTGGATTTTGCCAATTTTTCTAATGCCTTTAAAAAAATAAACAAAATAAAACTTTGTGTAGAATGATTTTAGATTTACAAACAACTGTAGCCAGAACAGATTTCTCAGATCCCCTCACTCAGTTTCCTCAGATACTAACCAACAGCGGCACATTATGTATTATTACAAGACATCTGTAGAAATTAAGACTGCAGCATGTGTCAGTACTTTTCTTTATACAGTATTTCACTGTATGGGTAACTTTGACTTCATTTATACACTGACTAGCCAACAGACATTTGAATTGTTCCCATGCATTGGCTATTCTGAACAGTGCTGCTGGGCGTGGTGGTATACTCCTGTATTCCTAAAGCAGGTGGACTGAAAGTTTGAACCTAACCTAGGCAAGTTGGTAAGACCCTGTCTCAAAATAAAATATAAATAAGTAAAAAGGGCTGGGAATATAGCTCAGTGTGAAGGCCTTGAACAAAAAGAAAACAAAAACAAAAATAGTGCTATTGAGAACATTAACATACAACTCTATGTGGACGAAAGTATTCATTTCTCTTGAGCAGTTATCTGCAAGTAGAAGCATTTGGTCCCAGGGTAAACATACATTTAACTTTTGAAAAAAACGATACATAAAATTGTACTGGGCTGGGGGTGTAGCTTAGTGATAGCCTGTTTAGCAATCATGAGATCCTGGTTTCAGTCCTCAACACATAGCAACAAAACCCAAATCAAATCTGTACAAACTGTAAGAAACTGTGTAGTGTTATCAATACTTGTAAACACTGTATAGCGTTCAAAACAGCACAAATTTATTTACCACTTCATTTAACATTTTAAGAAACTGCCAAACTATTTTCCAAGGAGTCTATACCATTTTAAATTTCCACAGCAAGCCGGGCATGGTGGCTCACGCCTGTAATCCCAGCACTTGGGAGGCTGAGGTGGGAGGATCATTGCGAGTTCAAGACCAGCCTGGGCTACAAAGTGAGCTCAAGGCCAGCCTGAACTGCAAAGTGAGATCCCGTCTCAAAAGAGGAAAAAAAAAAAAAAAGGAAAGAAATTTTCACAGCAATTTAAGAGGGTCCTTAGACTCTACTTCTTGGGGAAGGCGACTTACGGCCTTTTTCATTATAGCCATTTGATTATATGATTAGAGTGAGTATAAAATGGTATCTTCTTGTAGTTTTATTTGCAAACTCCTAAAGAATAATGTTAACACTCCTCATGCTTATTGAGCCTCCTGCAATATGCTACACACAAAAGGCTACAGGTTGAGTGATTCCATTTAAATAAAATATCCAGAATAGGAATATACACAGAAAGTAGAGTAGTAGCTGCCAGTGGAGGGCACAGGGACTTGGTAATGACTACTACTTGTAAGATTATTTAAGGGTAATCAAAGGTTATACAATGTGGATGTACTAAAATCTCTAAATAGGAACATGTTTTAAAAAGATGTTTTATGCTAATTGAAGAATAATAAAGCTGTTACTTTTGGGGCTAGGGATTTAGCTCAGCGGCATAAGTGTCTGCCTTGCAAGCACGCGGTCGTGAGTTCGATCCCCAGTACAAGAGAAAAAAAAACTGTTATTTTTTTGAGACAGGGTCTTGCTTTGGAGTGCAGGCTGGCCTCAACCTTGTGGGAATCCTCAAATACTTACTTGGAATACAGGCGTGTACCATGGCCAGCTATAGCTGTTGTTATTATTTTAGTATCAAGAGACTTGAACTCAGGATCTTGTGCTTGCCAGGACCTTATGCTGTGCTGCTGAACTATATCCCCACCCTGTTATTATTTTTAAAAGAGCAAAAATTTGAAATTCAAATGCCTAAGTGCGCATATCTTTTTTTTTTTTTTTTTGTCTTTTTCGTTTTTATCGGTGCCAGGGATCGAACTCACGACTGCCTGCTTGCAAGGCAGGTGCTTATGCCGCTGAGCTAAATCCCTAGACCAATGAGGATTTTTTTTTCTCTCTCTTTTTCATTTAGAAGTGCTCATATCTTAAGAGTTTTAACAAACCCACTTCAGAGCACCAACAAAAGAAACAAATCCATTAGAAAAAACAGAAAGGAGTAGGATATGGCAGCATTGGCCAGTAAACTGCAGTTTTGGAGGCTGAGGCAGAAAGATGACAAGTTCCATCCCAGCCTGGGCAATTTAAGAGACTCTGTCTCTAAATATAAAAAACAGACATGGTGGTACATGCCTGTAATGCCAGTACTTAGGAGGCTGAGGCAAAAACACCACTGTGAATTCGAGGCCACCCTAGGCTACCTACGTGAGTTCAAAGCCAACCTGCACTACACAGCAAGACCTGTATCAAAATAAATAAATAACATTAAATTAAAATAAAAAGGACTGAGAGTAACTGTGAAAGTACTTGGTTCAATTTCTAGTATCACAAAACTAAATAAATATGAAACCACAAGAGGAACATGACAAGGCAACTAAGATACGAAAAAGAAAAAAATTTACTTTAAATGTTAAAAGATAATGTTATAGTAAGTAAGAGGCAAATTAAAGTAACCAGAACGGGGATAAAGCTCATTGGTAGAGCATTCCTGCGGCACGTTCAGGGTCCAAGCACTGGAAACAAGGTAGCATTCCAGCAAAGTGACAAGAAAAGAAGAAAAAAAGATATTTATCACTCTATTCATGAGGAGGTTGAAAAAACACTTTACATTGTTGGCTGCACACAGCAATATTCTCTTTGCAAGGATGTAAATACTGTACATACTTTGCCTTAGCAATTTCAATTCCACCACCTCCACACAAAATGCACAAAAAGGGCTACTCACTGCAAGATGCCTTTTATAATTGCAAAAGAACAAGAACAGTTTAAGATCTTTATCAGTAAATAACAAATAAAACAACAAAAAGAGCTTATCAGTAAAGAACCAAGGATCAGGTAGAGTGGCACATCCTTGCAATCCAAAGGAAGACTGAAGCAGGAAGACCACAAATTCAGCCCAGCCTAGGTTTACTGATTTAGCAAGACCATGTAGCTCCGTGTGAAGGCCCTGGATTCATTGTCCAGTACTAGGGGTAAAAAAAAAAAAAAAAATGTAAAGAAGCAGTTGTAGTATTTTGTGTATAACATGCTCCTCTTGCTAAATAAAGGACAGAGATGTAAGGAAAATGCTTAAATTATTTTTTTTAAAGTGCAGTAAAAGACACATTGCCAAGTTCAATGGGAGAAGTGTGTTTTGAAGCAAGGGGGAGTATTTTGAGGATTGATGATAATGTGTCTTTTTCTGTAAAAATTTTTAAAATTTAAACACTCCCTATAGTTTTGATCTCTCTCTCTCTCCCTCGCTATGCATATTAATCTGCTGTGATTCAGGACTTGGGAAACAGTGACAGTGGGAGGATGACTTACATTTCACTGTTTTGTACTACCTGAATTTTATAACGTTCCACTACACACTCTATAAATCATCAACAACACAACTTGTAAAGGATTTGGCTTTGAAAATGGAAAAGTTTCCTAAGTCGCTTGTCAAATTTACGAAGACAATTTCCCCAGCAAGAGGACTGGTGTTGGGAGTTCCAAGGCTAGCCTAGCCTACAAACAAAACAAAAAACAAAACAAGTATGTAGCCAAGTCCCCTCAGTGTTAAGCTCTTCATTTATGCATTTACTTCTATAATTGCACACACGAACCTATGAAAATACTATTTTACCCATCTTAGAGATGAAACTGTGGCTCAGAACTGACGAAAAGTGCCTCAGCCAGAAGAATGTAAAGTTAATTTGTAATCCGCTGTATGTCTGTCAACCACAAGTGAAAGGGAAGGGCACATGAACTCCGTCCTTCCTCAGAACAGCGGGGAACCGGCTCCGGCGTTTCGCAGACACACGCATCGCTCCCTTCGGGCTTCCGGAACCCTGCCTGCGACCCCGGGACCTGCTTCCCGGCATCCTCCGGCGTGCTCGCTCACTTCCGGCGCTAAGAAGGCCCAAGCTTAAGCATCACCTAACGGGTAGCCCGCTCCCGGGATACACTCTTCGCCGGCTCCCCAGCACTACATCTCGGTCCCAACGCCACCCCATACTCTCTCTCTGCTGCCCCTTTTACCTGTCCCGCTCCCCCTACCCACAGAGCCCCTCGCTGATGACCGCCCTCACCTCTTCTCTCTTCATCTGCCGCGGCCTTTTACAAACGCGGCCAAATTGTTCGCTGTAACGACTGCCTTTATTGGTCAAATCCGCCTCTAAGCGCGAGTGCCCTCCCACCACTGCCTGTGTTGTCTGATGGGAATTGTAGTTTTCGTTTGGAGCTCGCTGAGAATTTCGGACAGGATCCAATAGAACCTGTGGGAAACTGACTCCTTTTGCGCTGTGGTTCTTGCCTGGGGTTAGAGTTCTTGAATCGACACAACTCTAGGGCTCGTGTTGACCACTTCAGGCCAGAGACAATCCTGTTTCAGAGTTCCACTGGCAATTGATGGAAAAATTGTCTAAGATTTTGTACCTTATTAGTAGATGTCGCCTGAGATTTAGTTTAGAGGCCTTTCCCACCAGTGTTCATTGTTTCTTTCCATCATTTGTGTGTTTATGTTCTTTTGCTCCCTTAGCTACATTTTGAAATAGTAGTTGAATGTTTTCCCTTATACTGTGCTGAGACTGAGACTGGCTTCCTGTGTGTCCTCATTATGGTCCATGGAGTCTTAGAGAGATGCTCTGTTGAGGATTGCAGATAACTCCCAGATGGAGTGCGTTTAAAGGTGAAGCCCGTTGAAAATTCTAGCATCCTCTGTCCCTAATTTGCCTACTAACTAGTAGTGGCACTGTAGGCAAGTTGGTTTGCCATCGAGATATTTAATCTTCTCAGTTACTTATAAGAGGAATGGTCCTTTTCAAGACTAAAGTTTGTAAATTTTTTTGGTAATTGGGATCGAACTCACGACCTCGTGCTTGCCAGGTAGGCGCTTATGCCACTGAGCTAAATCCCCAGCCTTGTAATATTATTTCTTTCTTTCTTTTTTTTTTTTTTGTCCTTTTTGTTTTTACCGGTACCGGGGATCGAACTCATGACTGCCTGCTTGCAAGGCAGACGCTTATGCCGCTGAGCTAAATCCCCAGCCCCTATTTCTTGAACTTGAGGAAGAATACACAATTTTTCCAGAGTTTTCTTTCCATTTGTGCTATTTTATTTTTTTTTATCAAAAGAAAATATTTTTTTAATTTTATTTAAGGAGAAAAGAAAAAAAAGCAGGGAAAGGGTACAAGTTATACAGATTTACAGAAAAAAATGAACAGTAGGACATCACTAGTTAATGGATTACATATTGTCATCTTAGAAATAATTGTTCAAGTCACAAAATTAAAGCTTGTAAAGTGGACATTCCATCAGTGATACTGCAAACAGTTCTGTTCATTGATCCAATAAAACTCTGTGATATCATTTTCTATCTTATACACTTAAATATACATGCAGTTATATAGTTTGGAGCACTTTCTTTTCCTCTCTTTTGTACCATGACTATTACACATTTTGGGTTTCATTGCTCCCACGGTTCTTATTACTTTTTTGGAAGAGAGTAAAACCAAATGTGACATAACAGAACAGAAACGGTCAAGTCAAAAGGGTGGACATAATAGATAATGTAAAAACATAATACAAGGTGATCAACAATGGTTACCATAATGCCTCCCGCTATCTCTAATAGAATTGCCTATATCGTTAGTTATAATACAATTGAACAAGACAGTAAAGAATAAAACCGACAAAACCAAAACATTGGAGACATTGTAGGTCTTCAAAGGTAGATAAAAGTCAACAAGAATGGGCGTCATAATGAATCTCATTATCTTCACAGCTGATGCCTAAACTTTCAAACATGATACTATCCAGCAAAACAGAATAGGGGAACATCAGTTAAAAACCAGATGGTGAGAGTAATACAGGGCTTTAAATCAAGGTAATGAAAAGTCAAAGTGGGTTACTATAATATATCCTGCTATTTTTTTCCCTTTAATTAAAAGGATAAAGATAAAAAAGTAAATAATAAAATGGAGATTGAGATAAAAGAGGGCATAACAACGAAACAGCGCAGATCAAAACATAACCATTAGAATAGTGTTTCACCACCAGATAATCCTAACCTAAAAGTAGTTACCATATTGTCTCTTTCTTTGAAATCCTTGAGTACAACTTTGTATACTGTAGCATTAAGTATATCAAAACAATGTAAAACCATTCAAGAGAATGACAGCATTACAGAGTATTTAGAATCGACTAACAGAAAATGAACAATCGTTTCTGTATAATCTCCTTGTCTTTAAAAGGTTTTTGCTTATACTATCGTACATAAAAAAATCCAGTAAGTTACAACCTATTTAGACCATTGGAGACAGAAGGACAAAAGCTAGATGAGACTTCAAAACAAGATGATACTAAATCAGTATTACCTATTAAGATGTCATTTTCTCCAAAATAGCTGTTCCTATCATCCAATCTTCTCTGCCTCATTTCTGTTGAGCTCTTTTTCTGTCAGTAGCTGTCAGTTTGTCTTCTTCATTTTGTTCTCTGCTCCATTCGTTGTGGCCTCTCTGCCATTATTTCTGGATTCTTTTTATTTTTCTTTTTTTAGAATATCCTGCAATACTCTCTGTAGAGTTGAATTGGTGGTTGCAAATTCCCCCAGTTCCTCTTTATCCTGGAAGCACCTTGTTTTTCCATCAATTTCCAGGGACAGTTGTGCAGGATATCTCAATCTTGGCTGGAGATTATTCTCTTTCAAAGCTTGAATTATTTCCCCCCACGCTCTTCGTGATTTGATGGTTTGTGCAGAGAAATCTGCTGTAATTCTGATGGGTGTTCCCTTGTAAGTGGTCTGTTTCTTGTCTCTGACAGCTTTTAATATTCTGTTCTTGTATTGAATTTCTGGAATTTTAATTATTATATGCCTGGGTGTTGCTCTGTTTGGGTTGTAGGTGGCTGGGGTCCTGTATGCCTCATACATCTGAGTATCTTTACCTTTTGCTAAATTAGGAAAATTCTGCTGGATTATTTCTGTGAGTAGCTTTTGTAGTTCACTTGTTTGTGTCCCTACTTCTTCTTTTATGTTCTTAATCCTTAAGTTATGGCTCCTCTTATCATCTTCTTGTCTTTGTATTATTGCTGTTTGTTTCTTTGTTATTTTTAAGAAGTTTTTCATTTCATTCTCCCATATTTCAAGTCTGCCCTCCAGTTCAGATAGTCTGTCCTTAGTTTCTTTCAAGCTGTTATGCCAGTCTTCGATAGACTTCTTAGTATCTTGGTAGTCCTTTTGAACCTGCTTCACGTATTCTATGCTTTCTCTGTTTTCTCCAACAAACAATTCTCCCCTTTTTTTCTGTTCTTCCATTCCACCACCTGTTTTTTCTTGGGTGGTACTTAGCATTTCTCTAACTATTCTGCATACTTCTAGCTTCAGGTCATTGATAACTTCATTCCTGAATTGGTCTATGAGGCTCTCTATATGGTGCCTTATGTGTATTGGTGCGGTGTCTGCTATTGCCTGTTTCTCAGAATTGGGGGCCGAGGAGCCTTTCTTGTTGCTGCCTCTTCCCATGCTGCCTCTTCTTCTCTGTTCTTTATATATGCAAGCTTATATAAGAGGCCCAGCTTCTCTCCTAGTCAGCCACAGCCTGATCGAATTGCGCCAGTTAGGTGTTCCCGCTCACCACTGCGCACCAGGCAGCCCACGCGGGGCCCGCCCCTCCCGGCCACCGTCAGGCTCTGGGATCTGGGTTGGGACAGCCTACCAGGTCCACCGGCAGCGTCACGCAGGCCAGGCACTTTTCACCAATCCCGCCCGAGAGGGGGATGTGTGGCTGGAGTCGCCACCGCGCCCTGCTCCCGCAGGACTGCTCGGGCCCAGAAAGTCCTCTGCTGGAGTCAAACTGTGGTAGAGTGTCAGTTTCTCTCACTCACCTCACCACAAGTCAGTGCACGCCTCGCTGCCGTTCACAGATTGCCGTTCTCAGAGCTTCCGCACGTCTCTCTCCTTGCTGAGCCACTGTAGAGGCAGCCAGCCGCCGCGAGGCGGGAAACCCAAATCGCGGCTTACAATGGCGCGGGGTCCAGCCTCCACACCGAGGCCTTTCTGTTCCTGTTTTAGCACCAGGACTGCATTCCAAGTTGGTTTCTCTCAGCCCAGTTCGTTCCTGAGTCAGCAGAGCATATCTCCACCTGCTTATGTCTCCTTAGTCCGCACCATTCCTGGCTTCTGAGCCGAGTCTTTCAGAGAGCCTCCGGTAGTTGCTGTTATCTGTCCGCCATGTTTGAAAAGCTCCATTTGTGCTATTTTAAAAATGATCTTCAGTTTATCCTCGATCATCTAGTAATTACCTTTCACCATGCTTGGTTATGTTTATGATTATATTTGTGCCAAATTAGCTAACGTGTTTTTCAACTGGATGTGCTGCTGCTGGCAACTAGTTAGTGACTAGAGGCCATGGATGTTATCACAGATCGCACTAACGCATAGGCTAACTTCTCACAAGAAAAATTATCTGGCCCAAAATCTCAGTAGTGCCAAAGTTGAGAGACTGTTGTAAAAACAAGATTTAGCTTTTTTTCTATGGAATTGCCTGATGGATCCTAGTTAGCTGAGTTTTCAGTTGAGGCCCTCGTGGTGTTTGTTTGTTTTTAGTTTTATTTTGTTTTT